AAAAGCCCAACCAAGTACCAACGTGTCTTTTCCGAGTGATATTCCTTTCTTCTATGATTATTGAGACACCACTGAAATACTGTGAAGGAAAACATCGTGAGGAAACCTTTTTGTGAGGGGAAAATCATCTAATGACTTCTCCCGCCCAGGGTTGGGCGGTAGGGAGTGTCAGACTCTTACTGGCTAAAGCTCCCCCCCCCCCCGTTCCTTCTCCTGCTCTGGTCAGAGTTCACGGTGGCTCATTGCGCTTACCTCGCAACCCCGGCATGAGTTTTCATGAGGAAACCTGGACTTATAATTTCTAATTATAAGTTTGAAAACGTCAATCCGCCTTGAGCAAGTGTTGTGATTAATGTACAAACCGTGTGAAAAGTAGCCTTTGCTCAGCAGTGGGCACTTATAGGCTAATGATGTGACCGAAAGCCGAGGAAAATATCTATGTGTGGGAGTTTAATTGTGTCCTTGAATTAATCTTTATTGTTATCTGCGACTTAGTTGCAATACTCATCATCGGCAAATTGGGTATTATTCTAGATCAAAAATAAATAATTTATAATTTCAAAAAAAACATCATTAAAAATATACTTAGTAAAACTTTCATGAATTTGTTGACTAGTAGAAAATGGCTTCGGGTATTCAGTCTGCCTCTGTATCTAAAAATAAATAAATTGATTAATTTGCTTTTTGTAGTTTTTGAGTTTCAAAAATAACTATGCTATTTTAATCAAAGACATTCTGACGTATATTGTCCCTTCCGAATCTTTAAATATCCGAAAACCTTATCCCCAAAAGACCGGCAACGTACTCGTATCTCCTTTGATATTGAGGGTGTCCATGTGCGGCGTCGATTCCTTACCATCAGGTAATCCGTCTACAACATGTACATGATTGCCGAAATATCACATCAAAAAATGTATATTGCGGTTTCATACAAAATTTGTTTACTGTTTTTTTATTTTCTATCTATATATTATTAATTTAATTTTTCATTCTATTTTATTTCAATAAATAAATGCATTTGACTAGAGGGATGGTATAGTATTGTACCTACGCATATTTTTTTAAACTATTGTCTCGATGCTCAATGCTGAAACATAGACTTAGTACTAGACAACTATAACCATTTATACAATAGGTAGATATAATATAATAAGAAAAAAGGAAGATTTTTTATGTAATAGATCGGCAAACGAGCAGCCGGATTACCTGATGGTAAGCAATCAGCGCCGCCAATGGATATCCGCAACGGAGGAGTTACGAGTGCGTTGCCGACCTCTTAGGGATTAGGGTTTTGGAGATTGAGGGATTTGGGAGGGATCGGGGGAGGGGAAGGATTGGGCTTCCGGTAACCTCACTCACACGGCGAAACACAACGCTGTGGTTGTCTCACGCCGGTTTTCTGTGAGGCCGTGGTATCACTCCGGTCGAGCCGACCCATTCGTGCCGAAGCATGGCTCTCCCACACTCAAAAGAATAGATTAAGACATAACTTTTCTACATGGATGTCATTTTATCATGAATAATGAGTGCTACGAATTCTCGTAGTACTCTCTCGTAGCTCCGAACATTTATCGTAGTTGCACACATCTACGTAGTTGCCAGTACCAAAGCCACTTTCTCGATTTATATGTACTTTCTAAAATTGTTTTATTTAATTACCATTGATTTACAGTGACAAAAACATAGTGATTAAAGCTTGAATTTAATTTTTAATTATAAGTAATCGCCATACCCGGCTTTTGCAGCTAGCATGATGGTTAGTGGTTATACCTTTTCCATGTGATAAAAGGGCTTTACTCAGCAGCGGGTCCATAATAAGCCGATGAAGATACGCTGTAATGACTTTGTACGTATTTAAGGACGAAATGTAACTTCGTAGCTTGTAGCGTTAATTTCATTTGCTTTACCTAGTGAATGATTGTACTTGAGCCTGCATTTTAAGGGATTTAATGACCTAATCGAAAAACACATTCTTATAAAAAATCTATATAATAAAATAAAAAAAAACTTCACTTTCATTTATTTACTTTACAATATATATAATTAAATTATATACAAATAGCTACTCTCACGCGGTTTCACCCGCTGCTCCATTTGATCGTAGCGCGATGTTTTATAGCCTACAGCACTCAGGAACATTGTAGCTATCTATCAGTGAAACAATATTGGTGATCAGTTCAGCGGTTCCAAAGTTTACCCTCTACATACATACTTACAAACATACAAACTTACAAATTTTACCTCTTTATAATATTAGTATACATTACATAAAAACATGCTATGTTGCGCCACAAACAAGCCCTCGGGTTTGTCAATAAAAACATTAGTTTTATCCAGCGGGGTTGCGCGGCAAGCGTAAGGGTGCAGTTCCATTGAGGCGGAGCGGAGAAGAGCTGTGCCGCGATTTACCAATCACATAGCTTGAAATCCACTCATATGTGTGGGGTACAGTAGGTACCGCGGCCTCGGCCTGGAATCAGGAGATGGAACGGAATGGTTTTAAGTCAGTAAGAGTCTGACACTCCCTCTCGCCTCACTCTGGATGAAAAAACACGTCGGAAGATCTACCTCTCTTAAAAAATTTTCTTTATTAAGGTAATTTACTTTAGACGACACTCAATTCTTAACACAATAGCGTGAGTGAAACACAATAAATAACAAGAAATAATAAACCTTTATTATATTAAGAATGAGGCACACGGAAATTATAGAATATTATCAACTATTTTACACGACTATTTATTTCATAAATAATTGTTGAAAACTTTTTTAGCAACATTTTCCTTCGTTAATAAATAACGTAAGAATTCAATCACTAGAATGTTTGTAAAATGTTTAAATATATTTTTTATAAATTTTGCTCACATAAGTAACATTTGTAACATATTTATTTAATGTAGCATGAAATTTAAGGATACACATAAATTCAAAGTTCGAACGGATATATTTACTTAGGGATTTTTATATGATGATAAAGGTTTTAATATATCCTACTTCGATTGCCCAAGTGCCACCGTAAACAATCCAATGTGTTAAGTTACAAAAACACTATTTTCACTCGATGGTTACACGAACCCATCATAAATGTACTAATAAAATGTTAGTTAATTAAAAATTCGCGTTCGATATCCGCACGTCACAATGATCGCCAGCCATCTCATAACTTACGAGTGTCAGTTTGTAGGTGAAGTTCGTAGGTACGGCTCAGCTGCGCAGGAGTGGTGGTACTCGTTTCTTAGTATATAAGCGCGGAGAAATTCTCTCACTGCATCCACTCAGCCGTGTGTTGTCCGCGGTGCTGATCTCAATATTTGTACAGTCAACATGGCCGCCAAGTTCGTAGTAGCCGTGGCGTTGTTCGCGGTGTGTCGCGCCAACCCTCTCCTTATAAACGGTGAGTGGAACAATTTATAAAAACAGAAACATATTTCCTTGTCCCAATTTTAAATATATAACCCAATTCATATTGACACCTACATTAATAAAACTAATTCAGATTTTTAATTACCTGCAGGTGCATTGTACCGTGATGGACGCGCCTACTCCATAGGCCAGGCTTCCAGCTACGGCGGCGGAGTGAGCACCGCACAGGCTAACGTCAATGGTGACGCCGCGCAGGCGTTCGGCAGCTCCTCGGGGGGCGCACAGCTGGCACGTGACGGGTACTACTACCCCGGACAGGCCATCGCGCAGGCACAGACATTCGACGCCATGCCCTTCCCTGAGAGCCCCTTCGGCGGAGCCAAGGCTATCGCTCAGGCGCATAATGGAGCGTACTACCCCGTGCCAGCCCCCGCCACTGTCATCACCTACGAACAGAACTTCGCCGTCCCTGCTGACGCGTCCGTCAAATCTACAGCTACTTCCAGTGGCAACGGCATCGCGCAGTCCTCTGCCAACACCCAGGGAGGCATCGGCAGCTATGGAGTGACCTCGTCCAACGCTAAGACTCAAGGCTTCGGCTCCGCTGACTCCAACGCAAACTCTGGCTTTGGCTCCGCCAGCACCTCCGCCAAGACTCAGGGTGAAGGATCCGCTGAAAGCTCCGCTCAAACCAACGGCAACGGTATGGTCGGTGTGGCATACCCTGTGGCTCCCGCCGTCATCTCCGCTGGGCCTGAACCCTCCGTCATCGACGCCAAGTCTCCGATCTTCTACACTCCTTACGTGCCCGCTACACAGGGTGTCGCCTCCTCCAACGCGAACGTGATTGGCTCCGGCTCCGCTGCCTCATCAGCTAAGGTCGGCCACCAAGGAAGGACCATCTCTTGGCGCTTCGGCACTCTGTACGACTCTCCCGCATCCGCGCACGCTCAGGCAAACACCAACGCTGGTTACGGCGCCGCCAAGTCTGCTGCACACACCCACGGCTACGGTGCTGCCAACGCGAACGCTGACGTCAACGGCTACGTCTCCGCCAAGTCAGTCGCTGACAGCCAGTCTGCTGGCCAGGGCATCGCCCAGTCCTCCGCCAACTCGCACGGTGCCGGCTCTGCCAACGCCAACGCCAATGTGAACGGATACAATAACGCCAGGTCAGGCCAGTACTACGGCGGCTCCAGGCTATCTGCTGACGCGCACTCAAACGGCTTCGGTAACGCCGCCTCCTCCGCCAGGAGCCAGGGAGTGAACACCTCCTTCAGGGTGACCAACTCCCACGTGAAATCATTCGGCTCTGGCTCTGCACACGCCAACGCTCAGGCTGCTTGAGCAAGGAGTTCAGGTTTCGTGCACTAAATAAGCAACCACATCACGACGACTAGTGGACATGATGCCAGACACAACTTGTCTTGATGTATTTGCGAAGCGTGACAACGCAATTATTTATAAATCTAATTTATTTATTTGATGTTACGGTACAAATGATAAATTGCATTTACTAGAACTATGTCTACTATTAATAAATGAAAGATTTAAGTAAAACAGATTTATTTGTTATTATTATAATATTACAATAGTTTGATTAAGAATCCCTAAAACCCTAACATGCTGCATGCATGCAAAGTAATAATCTCAGGTATAAACTACATATCACAGTTTCCCCTGCATGAACGGCTTGAGGTACTTGTGGAAGCTCTGGTTGACTGGCTCCGCGTTCAGAGGACTCTTCAGCGCTTCCTCCATCAGGCGTTCGTACACGCGACCGTCGTACGCGCCCAGGGTAGAATTCAAAATCTAAAATTTAAAATAGAATGTAATCTAAATCTGAAAACCATAGTGATAAAAAAACTGAATTCCGATAAAAAGGTTTATTTTGGGTCCATGTTTGTTAAAGAACCTTTCTGTAGACTTTGAAATCACTATATTTACAACCTTGTTATAATCAGAATTAAAGCTGCTGAGACACACCAAGTCCTTTTAGTTATATAGATATAAAATCCCCATTATATGTACTACCTGATCTCTGAAGTCGAATGCGTCCACCAGGCCCACAGCGTTAGGTCTGATCTTCCCGAGGAGGTCTTCATACGTTTCCTGCAGGTGACGGATGTCAGCTTCGGATATTGATGTGTACTGGGAAAAGGCATGAATGTCAAATGAATTAAGTTTGGGTCAGCATCCTACTTTGTATTTCATCTTAAAAAGAATTGTTAGGGAAACTTCTACATGTAGATATGCGGAAGTGACAGTATATTTTATGATTTATTTCATTTATAGATGCCTAAGAAAATGAGTTGAGTATGTTTAAGAAAGAGAGGCGAAAATTTTAGTATAAAAAGTAATACGAGTAAACCTATTACTAATTAGGAATAGTGGTCGTGGTGGCCCGCAGGTTAAGGAGCCCGCTTCTCATTCATAAGGAAGTAGGTTCGAAGCCTGACAAGTACCAATGTGACTTTTTTCGAGTGATATGTACTTTTTATGATTATTTAGAAACCACTGACATACGCTGAAGGTAAACATCGAGAGGAAACCTGGACTTATAATTTCTAATTATAAGTTTAAAATCGCCAACCCACATTGAGCAAACGTGGTGATTAATGCTCAAACCTTCTCCGTGTGAGAAGAGGCCTTTGCTCAGCTGTGAGCACTAATGGGCTGATGATGATGATGATGAATTAGGAATACTATAGTATTCGATTTTATACATATACGAGTATAACCCAGGTGGTTCTATTGTCTACAATAGAAGTGTAGGAGAATTATCTACAATAGAAATGAAGGTCTATTGCTTCGGCAATAGACCAGCTCGACCGGAGTAGCCGTCACCCCTCAGACACCTGATTGCTTACCGTCGGGTGAACTTCGGGTCTTTTAGTTTGCCCACCAATACTATAAAAATATATTTACAGTAAAAACATTAATTGTTGTTTTTTTAATTCATTTACGGGCTATAAATGTAAAGTATTTAACAGTAGTTGAAACTTTTAATTTGATTATTAAAAACCAATTCGAAAAGTAAACAATGTATTACTAGGAGAACAAAAAAAGGAACTAAACTTTTTATAGCATAACAAAAAGTTTTTTATAACGCCATGAACTTGTGACCTCGAGCGGTGACCCAATAAATATTCTAATGTGACGCGTCCTGACGTAAGGTCAGTGTCAAGTCATATTTTGACGTCATTGTTAACGGTCCGCTTTTGTACAGAGTAACCGAACGCTCAAATCAAGAATTTGCTGGGACTTTTTATGAAAATCAATTTAATGCCTTTATTGAAGAAACGAGGATTTTTATTTAGAGTGATTATAGAGTTATTTTCCAAACGTACTTAATTTTATTTCTTTAGCAATAATAATGTTATAATTTGTTACTGTTTACAAATAGACTTAACTTTGGGATTTATAATTGACAGTTTTCTTTACGTTTCTATTATAGCTTTAAGCAAAAGTGTGTTAGATTATAATTTTCTCAATAGTTTTTTTTTATTTACTTTACTTCAGAAGTCTTGGTGATTCCCAAGCCAGTAATAAATAGAAACAATGTTCTCAAAAACTTATGTAAAAATTGGACCAGCACTAGGGTCCAATTTTTACATAAGTTTGTCACCAAAGAACTGATACAATTACTTTCTCCAATCACTTTTTGTTAAGAAAGTCAAGTTGTACAAACAAGTCTACTTCATCATGATTGATATCAATCTATTAATATACATATATCGACCAGATGATCCGTGCGTTTTTGTTGCTAGTTCGTATGTTGACCTCGTATTTAAATAACTGTACGTTAGACCTTTTGTTTGAGGGTTATTTCTATGGAGAAAATGTTGGATTTGGTTGTTTGTTTTTGGTATATGTATAGGTTAAATGTTATTAAAAATATCATCATGTTACCTTTGCTGCATGTGCATATGCATGATTGCATAGGGTGGGATTGCATCCTACAACAAGCCTGGATTTTTGTCGCGGAATTAAAAGTAGATAATTTTCATAACATTTAGGTAATGTCACAGATTTCTGCCAAGTAACGCCTGATTCTATAAATTATATGTATAGGTTTTCCTTTATTGTTATGTTTTTTATTATTACAATCTCTTCATCCCGGCTACCTTCTGATTGGCTACCGTTTCATACTGAATGAGATTCCGTTTTGTAGGACGACTTTTTTCACGAGTCCTAGGCATGCTTTGTGAGACTTTAATAAGAATGGTATCATCATGCTAAGACATGTTAAAACAAAATAGTTATTCTTGTTTCATTATGGTATAGTATAGGCAAACGAACAAACGTGTCATAATTATGATAGTAAGCAATCAGCGCTGCTTATGGACACCCACTAGCTAGGAGTAACTAGAAAGTTGCCGGCGTCTTGTGATCCTTAGGGATTAGAGGAATAAAAATTGCTGTAAGTAGGGAAGAAACCAGTAGCAAAAAATCACTAGTACATAAGTTGCCGGTGTTTTATGGTTTTTGAGAAATGAGGATTGTGGTTGGTAGGAAGATAAGGTTTGGGTTTCTAGCACTCGCACTCAACAAATCCATAACCCGCACAAATCCAGAGGCATCGCCACGGTAGTAAGATGTATGTACAAACCCATAATAAGAAGGCAATCAAAGTCTGTGATCACTATTGTTGATAGATAACCACACTATTTACTGTCATCAACAAAAAATCTCACATCTCTGTCAGTATATAGAATTAAATTGACATTTATGAATGATTAAGTGCTTATTAAAATTTTAAACATGAAATTACACCGGCTTTTTTGTTTGGAAACAATTTGTCGGCTTTTTTGAGTGTTAATGTGTTAAGCTTGTGATGTTTTTTTGTTGTTAGATATATTAAATGCTATTGTTGTTGGGTATATGTCATAAGTTATCATTGTCACGGGTCTGCGGCCGGCCAGAACCTGACCTGAGCTTGCGGAATGCAGATAAGTCCAATAGGGCTGTAGTCCAGCCGGGGTTGTGTGGTAAGCGCAATGAGGTACCGTGGCTTCGACCTGGAGCAGGGATGGAAAGAGGTGTTTTTAGACAATCATTCTTCAAAATTTTGATAGGTGTTATAATTTCAACGCGACTTCCAGAAGCTGGCTTTAAAACTCAAAAGGTGTATGAATCCTGGGTGAAATAACGATGACGATTGTATTGTCAGCCAATAAAGTTAATACTCTACCATACATTTGAATGACCAACACATATTTTCGCAAACTAAGGCTGTTTTTTTAAGAGAATTTAAACTCTAATGGGCCTGCTATTCGTCACTAATTAAATTGCATGTTACCGTAAAAATTATATACTAAGCAAAATTGTTGCTACTTAATCAATTTTAATTTACGGGTGACATTCCGACATATGAAAAATATTTTTATGAGCAAAAATGTCGAATTATATTAATTGTATCGAATATTAAATTATATTCTTATTTATGACTGAAGAACTACTATTGATTACAATAAAATCCTCATTTCTCACATAATTTAATTTAAATATGAATAATTTACAACTTTCATCGTGATTTAATCGATTTTTATTAAAATCCAATCGGGTCGGTTTAAAAAAAGCAATACAAAAGATTGACAAATTGATCTCAGATCGAGAATGAGGAAAAAAACGAGAAAAATATCGATTAATAATTCGCATGCTCTATAAAATATCATTAATTATACCTATTATAAACGTAGAAAAAGTTACAAAAGATATAATTGTAATATTTTTAGAGTTTGACATTGATATTTGAATACTTGACGTAATACCAACCTAACAATCACTAATAGGTTCAACTCAGTTCACTACCAAGGTCGGTCAAACCTTGATTTATAGTTAAAAAACTAGTTCAATGTTATGTTATTTTAAACGGTTTTTTTATCATCGTATTAGATTTATTTTCCTGTTAGAGATTTGGAAAGGATCAAATTGAGTCCAGAATTGCGGATGTAAATAAGATTTTTTTTAATTCGAGTTAATATACACACAGCTACTTAAATACGTGTCTTTTTTGAGAGGGAAAAACCATTAAATGTCTTCTCCCTCCCAGGGTTGGGCGGGAGGGAGCGTCAGACACTTATTGACTAAAAAACCCCGTTCCTTCTCCTGCTCTGGGCCAAGGCTGCGGTGCCTCATTGCGCTTGCCCCGCAACCCCGGCTGACATAAACACCTGCCTATGAGTATATCAACTTATGTAATTTATAAAACCTTTCTTGTGAGATAGGGCTGCACTCAATAACCCCAATTAAAAAGCAATCAATCAACACCACCCGCACACACGCATATCAGAGCAAGTCATTGGCAGCCCTACGGTTGTGAATGCATTGATTGCTTCCTTATTTGAAGATTAAGAGAAATTAGGAATGGGTTGGAAAAAATGGACCTTCGGTAATGTACATTCAGATGACGAAATACAACGTCACTTTCCATCACGCCGGTTTTCTGTGGAGCCGTGGTATTACTATGGCCCACAGCAAAAAGCATGGCTATCCTACACTTTAAATTCAACATAAAGCTCTAATGATCTAGAAATTTGAGCTCCAACATAAATAAAATTTACGCTAATTTTAGTTTTGAAAAGTGTTTTATGTTGTCCAATATCTATAAATTATACGAAGCATATAATTTATTAGAACTAGTCTTAAAAATGTAATCTAGATTATAACGAAGACACCTGTTCCTGTTTCTGAAACCGTTGTTCTGCTAAAATATAGATATCAAATTGAACAAATTGTATCAAATTCTTAGAACGAAACTACAATCTATTATAAAGAGAGATCTCAAACTGGTCTAATCAAAAATAAAGAAGATCATTATCAGTAACTAAAATCTTGTTTACAATGTAAACCTGTACTAATATTATAATGCTGTAGTTTGTTTGTTTCTTTATTTATATGCGCTAATCTCCGGAGCTAATGGTTCGAATTCTTTTTGTATTTGTTAGTCAATTTATCGAGGAAATCTATTACAAACTATAAAACATCACGCTACAATCTGTAGGCGCTGAGCAGCCGGTGAAACTGCGTGAGATAAGTTAGTTATCCCATATAAATAATTTTTAACAAAAATATTCCGACTTCAAAAAGTAAACTAATAAGCAAAAAAAAAATTCTTTTGTAGAAATTAATTAATGTTTTCATTTAGTTAAATAGAAAATAAAATAATAACCATTTTATAATCTTGAATTCAGTGCCAAGTGAATCATCACGTAGCGTGATATATCAGCGTCTATATTATATCAGTGAAAGAATTTTGCAATCTGACCAGCGGTTCCAAAGATTACCCCCTACATACAAACTTACAATATTAGTATAGATTCAGAAACGTATGCCAAATTAATTTTTCAAGACGGACATTTTGATAAAATAATGGACCGTAATTAAATATTACAAATGATAGATCCGAGTGAGCCAATACAAAATAACTGCAAATGTAATTACAGACGATTCCATGACTGTTCCTTAAAACTATTATTTATGCAGTCAGGACCGAATTAATGATAACCTACATATAACTTTTAACAGTTACATATTTAAATAAAACCATCGGTCAATTCAAGTTATACTAAAATTAGAAGGGTTCTTATGCACCTCTGATAAGAAATGAGAAGTTTTGGAGAGCTTTAGCAAGAGTGAGTCGGCTTGACTTTTTTTTATGTAATAGGTCGCCAAACGAGCAGACGGATTACCTGATGGTAAGCAATCAGCGCCGCCCATGGACACCCGCAACGAAGGAGTTACGAGTGCCTTGCCGATCTTTTGGGAATTAGGGATTTGGAGATTTAGGGACTGGGGACGGATTGGGGAAAGGGAAGGATTGGGCCTCCGGTAACCTTACTCACACGGCGAAACACAATAATGTGGTTGTTTCACGCCGGTTTTCTGTGAGGTCGTGGTATTGCTCCGGTCGAGCTGACCCATTCGTGCGAAGTATGGCTCTCCCACACTTTGACTAGACTAATAGGTAGTAATAGGTACCACCTTACAGAAAAGCTGCGTAAAAAACACAGAGTTTCGTTTCGCCGTGTAAGTGAAATTGCCGTAGGCCTAAACGGGAAGGATTAGGGCTCCCGAATTTCAGATTAATATACGAAACCCTATCCCCTTAAAAAGCCAGCAACGCACTCGTAAGTACTCCGGTGTTGGGGGTGGTCATGTGTGGCGCTGATTACTTACAATCAGGTAATCCGTTTGCATTACCGTATACGGTATACGGTACGTATAAGGGTATTACATATTAATATACGTAATAATAAACATTCAAAAAAATTATAACACAAACACAGCGATGACTGTCAATTAAAATGAATCCCATGACTTGAAAATGGATAGAACTTTTTAAGAATCTTCTCTCAGATATTTAAACTTTATTATAACATAAAACCATTTTTTTATTAATACGGAACTTCATATCTACAGTATGGCATTGATGTGCAGAATATAGAAATGCATTATTCGAGTTCATAATTACCATAATACACCAGCCAATCTTACGTCATTCAAATCATCAATAGACTATTTAAATGAATATCTTATTAGAAATGTATAAAATTAGAACTCGACTTTTTTGTTACTTCTGCAACTTGACCCATAGGATTATATAGGTATATAGATTTTCCGTTAATCATATGAAAGGGACAGTGATAACGGGATAGATCTGAAGGAAAATTTTGTACAGAGAGGTATCTGCTAGGTAGTTTACCAAGAACAGTTTACCAATACCATAATACGGAACTTCGCAATCACAACATTGATAAAATCTCCATTATTTAACAACCGACCAAATCAAATCATAACAACATCAATTTTATATTGATCAATTAAAAGAAACAAACAAGATGTGCTATATTTATACAAGTAGGTACTTAATAAAAACTTTTTAATCATAACAAGTTCAATTGCAACAACGTAACAGAAATAACGGTCACTATGATGAAGCAGGAATACATCAAATTCCCCCGACAAGTTGAACAAGACTATAATGTGACGTCACTTTTCCCTTTTTGGGTAATCATGAAACGGTACCAAGGCTAAATTTACAACCACTAAAACTTCACACACATGTAATGTGTCATTTTTATTATTACAAAAGTACTTAGTTTAGTACTTACATCGCCATCTTGTCTTTTACCAAGGACCACTAAAAAATTACGTATGTCAACTCCTGGAAATAAACTTTTATGTAGCCTTAAATTTGGTACTTAAAAAAGGCGTCACAGAATATTTTCTAAGATAAAAACCCCACAAGGAAAATGAATGGGCGATGCACATCTAAACGCGCGGGTATGTCATGTCAGGTCTAATAAAAAAAATAAAATGCAAGATGGCCGAACAACTGACAGGCGCGCGCATAAAATAAAAATATAATATGTACTTTTTTGCTCTCTATCATTCCGTGCAGTGACTTTTTACAACGTAGGTATTATTTAACTGTACCTGTGCAGATAATCAAAGTTATTGTGGGACGCCATTATTTTCGCGTGATCCTGTTATTTTAGATTTATCTACATTATCTAACAGTAAGAAATAATTGCTAGCATATTCTAGAAAGATATTTGTGCCAAAGTGCCAAGTGTAGATGTGGAGATATTGAATGGGATTAGTAGAGTAGAGATTGAAGATAAAGATTTTAAAAGTATGTAGAGCTTCCTTTTTCATTGTTTATTTTGAATTGTTATTTATGAAAGTTTTTTGTTACGGTATTTTGGTATTACGCGAAACTACACCTTAAAACAATGAAAATTGCGCTGAAGGCTTTTTTTCGCAATAACTCTTCCAACTTCCATCTTAGACTTAAGACCTATTTCACAATGTCTGGATGGTAGCTATGTACCAAATAAATTTAGATATGTAACGTGATTTTAACTTCGACCACCGGATTTTCACACAGCTACCTATTAAACTCACCAGAAGCAGATCTCCAACTCTCTCCAAAGCCCAGTAGATGGCGTACAATTCCACCAAGTGGTTCAATACTTTCTTCAGAGGTGCTGATAAGGTGCTGGCCGTTCTTTCCACTTCTGACTTGTATGTAGACAGGATGAAAGCTCGACAGTGGGCCTAGAGAATAAAAAAAAGAGATTTCTACGTTATCAATGTATGATACCTCTATATTTCTAAAATGTTATGTTGTAATTACTATAGGGGCCGCAGAAACAATGATTTACAAAGCATCACGTAAATATGGTTCAATAAATTTAAATTGGCAAAACATCTCTTTTATAAATTTTATTATACCACCATGTTTATTTAAATAACTCTTAACTTTAAAAGACATTAAAGACTATTTCAAATTTAAAAATATTATCCGGCAGCAGCCGTACGTAGTTTAAACTAGGTCGTTTAAACTAGGCCGGTAGGTGTCCAGGGACAGAAACCTTCTCATAATACGTGCCGTTTTGTGGAGAACTGCCTTCTATTTAGGCCCTTGATCCATACGCCTACAGCCTATTTTGAAGGGTCTGTGGTTGTAAAGGAATATTTAAGACTATTAACAAAGCTCGCAAATGCTAAACTAATACCCCTTGTAACATTTACATGCAAAAAATATATGAAAATATTTATGACGACCAGACGACCATAATTTAAACACGCCCCATCGTGATTTAGTAAAAAGTGATAATTATAAACCTAACAAATGTTTAAATAAAGACATTTATGATTTCAACTGCAAATACATTGATTGATGAAGACAATTTAATTGAAGTAGCAACACTGCGAACTTTTTTAAACCATATTTTTAATTGAAGAACCGTTAGGCACATAAAATAATGGAGACAGCCTATAAAGTGACAGTATCCTTTATTATACATACTATATAAATCGTAATAATATTATCGTTTTAAAATTTACATAATAGAGTTTTATTGCTATTTTGTCAAACATTATTGGTGTTAATTAGTTAACTAGATTTACAAGGCTTCCTGTTTTAGGTTGTTGACTTTGTTTTAGCAATGTGTTACAAATACATAATTAATTAGTATCATAAAAAACCGCATTTTACGGGGAAATTTAATTATAATTTTTATTTCTTATTATTGAACCCTTTCTTTGAGGAGGTTGGGGGAGATTCTCATATGACTTCTCTCAACAATAGTAAGGTGAGAGGAAAAGTCAGACTCTTACTGACTAAAAACCACCTCGTTCGATCACCTGCTCCAGGCCGAGGCCGCGGTATCTTATTATGAAGCGCGGGTCTGCGGACGGCGAGTAAGGGTAGCTCGCCGCCCGACCAGAACCAGACCCGAGCGTACGGCGCGTAGCGTTCCGCGCACGCCTCATACAGCCAGTAAACCACCACATACGGGGCCCAATAGGGCTGATGTTCAGCCGGGGTTGCGGGGTAAGCGCAATGAGTTACCGCGGCCTCGGCCCAGAGCAGGAGAAGGAACGGGGGGGTTTAGTCAGTAAGAGTCTGATACTCTCTCTCACCTAGCCCTGGCCGGGAGAAGCCATTTGATGATTTTACCCTGACGAAAATAAAAAAAGGCCAAGGCCACGGTATCTTATTATGCTCGCCTCGCAATCCCGTTAAATATGGATCCCTAAAATTATTTACACGTATACCTACACTACTTTTTCAGAACCTAGTATTAATAAGTATTCATAAATATAATTTCTTCTTTCACAAACCAACAAAATCATTATTGATGCACACTTATTTATTTTCGGAATTTCCTGATTTTGTCAGGTTTTGTTTGACAACATTTCAATAGGACTACCTACAGATACATTATTGTTAAAATAAATGTGCAAAAAAATTTTATTTGGCTGATTATGAGAAAAGTTTTTTTATTAGCCGAATTACTTATATTAATTGTTGTAATAATTATGGTAAAATAATCTTTAATTAATAAAATGGCACATGTAGCGTCATCTAGTATCGCTTTTGTGAATCCAACACCTTCTAATTTTAAATTTGTTCATGGTTAGAGAGAGAGAGAGCTTTCTCTCTCTCTTGTTGTTACCGGCATGGAATGTGTAGGCATGCAATATAAAATTAAAAATAATGATAAAACAACGTTTATTATAATTAATCAACTATTCAACAATATTACACTAATATCCATAATTAGCAAGATTAATAGCATCGATATTTTCTCCAAGCCCCGTTTAATTTATAATGAGTGCTATTTATCAAATTGTAAGGAAGCTGCTTATTATTATATTTGGATAATTTATCGATAAAAAAGTATACCAACGCAAATACTTAGTGGTTTTTCTAGTTTAGATTTTGTCTGGAAAGTTTCTGTTTGTTGATAACAGTCAATCAATACTAATCTACATAGAAACTACTTGATTTTTCTTAGCTTTTCACACCAATACTGTACAAGGGACAAGGCACATCTCGATCCCTTCGATCAACTATGACGACTCTATTGTCGAAGCTAGTCTCTTACCATTAGACCACAGTTGAGGCTCAATAGGACTGATGTTGATAATGTAGCGGGTGCAAACACAAAAAACATGTACCGCGCCCTTGCTTAGCCCGAAGCCGGAGACGGAATGCGGTGGTTTTCTCGGTTAGAGTCTTAATTAATACACAGAATATAATTTGTCCCGTCAAAAATGCTAGTTTCCTAAGAATGTTCCAAATCTATATCTACATATATTTATATCTAAAACTTAATCCTACTTAGGGAATAACGGTAAAACGGGGTGAATAGAATTTGAGGGGTGAATAGATACACGAAAGGGGTGAATAGATGTTGGCGAATTTTCCTAGTATCTATTCACCCCTTTTCCGTGTCTATTCACCCCTCGAATTCTATTCACCCCGTTTTACGGTACGACACAATATGTATATGTACAATGATAATCTACAAAGTACATACAAAAACGGCTCTTTTTAATAAAATCTACAGTTACAAATACAACATAAAATATGTCTACTGGCATAAATTAATATAACCCGATTCATTTTATTTATTTACGCAAAAACATTTCGATCTAAAAAGGCTTGGTTTAAAACATGACAACTTTTTTGAATACGTTTCTTTTTTTTTCTTTTTTTAGATTAGATGACTAATAGTGTTGTGAATATCGATTTTTTATTCCACTTGGAAATATTAGTTGACATTTTTATAAACCGATTTTATTTTATTGTTTTTCAAAAACCTTGTAAAGAATTAATTATTAAATGCTATGTATAATTATTTTATATTATTTAGAAAGTGAATGGCGTTAAAATGTTAACAATAAAGTGACAAAGAATAAATAGCTCTTTAAAATTTACCGTTTATGTAGGAAATAAAGTGGATATCCAATTACAGCTTTTCTAAGAATGAATGTCAATTTCTTGTGAATATTATTTTTACCAGTTGACCTTTGACCTTCAACCTGCAAGTCATTATTTATGCCTTCAACGAATGTGTAGATTTATGATTCTTCTACGCATTTCATCACTTTGCTAGATCTGATTATTTGTACGAGATAAAAAAAAATTTAGGTTCTTCTCTACATACATATCCCTATAAGCATTGCTTTTTTTTTCTTAGTAATGGGATGGCGCTTGGCCGCTATCTCGCCTGGTGGCAAGGGCGTACTATGGGAAGCTACCATTCACTCAGGCCTTGAAGACACCTTTTAGAGACTACAGACTCCTGCAAAATGCATTTTGACATGGCCAGGCATGACTAACTTTTAAAGTTCCATTACTTAAATTCTACCTAATAAATATTTTGTTCCGTATTTTTTCTCTACCTAGGTACGATTTTTTTTTTTGTATTTATCGTAAAAAATACGATCTTGTTGGCTATAGAAAAAATCTTTCTTTCTCTTTCTTACTAGTTTAAGTACCTCAGAAGCAGCAACCAATTGCACTGATGACATGTTCCAGGCGTCCTCAGGAGCCAGACCGCGTCTAACATATTTTCTAATGCTATTCACTGCTGATTGGACTTTACTGTAAAAACACATAATTTTAAGAGAAACTTTGAACTGAATATCTTTTTTGCCGTTTTGTAGAGTCTGTTTTTATTATTACGTATCTATTTAGACTAATGTTCGTCTACGTAAGCCAAGTGAGGGTTATTTGGAATCTGGAGGGTAACTTTGATCCAAATCCAGAACCAGTAATAATCCAGAACCAAACGTGTATTCGTTTTTTATTAGTTAAGGGATTTGGATTTAAGTTACCCCCAAGGTCAAAGAAACCCGAACTTATGGTGTATAGAAACAGCCATTATCTGAAAGATAAAAGATTTATAAAAAGATTTTCTTTTTAATCCTATTGCAGCTTCCATCCAAAGAGTTGTCTGTAAGAGATGACCCTGTGCGATAATTTGTGAATTTTGAGCGTTCAATGCTTGCAAATTTAGCATATGTATGTGGTATACAATAAAATATATAAAAAAATAATAATTAAGGAGTTTCATACCCGTAGGCCACTCTTCGGAACCCTTTAACAATACCATCGACGGAATTCTCCCATTTCTGCTTATGGCTTATCTTCTCAGATAAATAAGACATTGTCGGACTCAGAGGCTTTCCGGATTGAGCTAGCTCCCAGGCTTTGACTAGAGATCTAAAACAAAACAATAATAAATTAAAATATTTATTTATCAAAATCCAAATACTCTTCTGATTAATGCTCTAACCTTTTCAGGTTTATGAGAAGAGGTCTTTGCTCAGCAGTGGGCACTTATAGGCTGATGATGATGATGATGATGATGAAATACTCTTCTGAATGTAGTATAAGTTGAGTAAGGGAATACAGATTTCCCAGAAAGCGGGTAGCAGCGGATAATGTTTTTTGTTTTGAAGTTACGGAAGTTTTTAAATTAATTTTGGCGCTCTGCGTGGGATAGGAGGGAGTGTTGTCAGACTCTTATTGACTAAAGACCACCCCGTTCCTCAGAGCTGAGGCTATTATTGTGCTTGTACTCATAAGCCTAGGCACTGAATCACTTGTTAACTAACTTTCTTTACTGCGATCTTCTTCTTCTCCTGCTCTGGGCCGAGATCGCGGTGCCTCATTGCGCTTACCCCGCAACCCCGGCTGAACATCAGCCCTATAGGGCCTCATCTGTAGTGGTCTTTTGGCTCTTTGTTTACCATTACTCAATCATTTGCAATCTATAGTCCACCTGAGGACAAAACAAAGGATCGTTGCCCTATCGGGTTGCAAGTAAGGTCTTCATATACTGCGGTACATGAGATGGAGATGGAAGTAAGTAGTTTTTGGGGCAGTAAGAGTTTGACCCTACCACCGCACCCAGGGTGGATGCATCCTTACAGATAAATGTATAGATAGTTACGAGATAGTACATTAATTCTGTTATTTTTTGTGTTCCGAATGATAGAACGCAGAATCAATTTGATTTAAATTATAATACAACAGTTAATCAAAGTCAACATAAATATTGTGATCCCGTTAGTTACAGTTTAGATATTAATAGTGGAACTACTTTAGACCTATCCTTAATCAATAAATGAGGCCTCCCACCGTATCTGTCTGTCTATCTGTATATCCTAATATATATGTATAACTAATATTATAAATGAGAAAATAACTTTGTCTGTCTGTCTCTTCTTCACGCCTATTAGGGATTTATTTTTATGAAGAGGGCCTTAATTCACAATTAGATTTTTTTTTTAGTTTTAAATGTGCATTGCGAGTCGTGTCGAAGTATAATTGAACTTAAACATATCAACCTTATCAATCAATCAACAAAGACCACCCCTCCCTATCCACTTTTCCCTTTCCCTGCAATCTAATTGCGACGCATTTGGTGTAAGACTAAGACCACAGATGAAACCGTGCGAAACAACTAGTAGACAAAATTTGGGTCCATCTTTTTCCTTTACAAAAACCTCAATGACTTCAAATAAATCATTATCCACGCAATAATAATTTATTTTTATATCATTTTGTTTTGCATAATCCATATATTGATACATTTTGCAAAACTTCCGATGAAGTTACCGATCGATGAGTTTATTAAACTGTCGTAAATTGCAATCTGACAAAATGGTCGTGCTTAATGTACAGCCTGATTATATCTAGTCACGTAAATACTATTTTTAAATGATATTTAACTTTTCATATATCACTTCTTTTGAGTTCAGCTTATTTAGAATAAATGTATAAGGAATAAAATCTAATATAATGTACTCGTTAATATGGTAAGAACCACGGAATAGAAAATACAGCTGTTCTGTGGTAAGAACGCAACTAGTGCTTTTCTTGATGTTTCAAGAAATGAACTGTCGGCGGCAGTACTTGCAAACCGATCCTTAAACCTTCTAAAAAATTCCATATTTTTTTAAGGCCGGTAAAATACTGTTGTCATTCTTTTGATGGTCCGTGTATTTATGGAAAATGACCAGCGGTTCCAAAGATTACTACCTACATACAAACTTACAAATTTTACCTCTTTGTAATATTAGTAGGAGAAGTATAGATTACCTGGCCGTCTGTAGCATAAGCACGGTGTTCTCTCCCTCGTAAGTACAGGCGGCGGTCACCAGTCCATATATTTGAGGCATATTGGAGGATAACATGTACCCGTGCCCACCGCACGACGTACGACTACGTTCCACCAGAACCGAAGTGTCTGAAGTCGTCACTGCTTTGAGACAGCAGGCTATTGCGTGTAACTAAAAGGAAAGAACTTGTATTCATTGCTAATACATGACTGAGTTAATTACCAAAAGCATTTTAGATGACTACATGGTTGTGTATTAAACTAAACAGGTGGGAGAGCCGTGCTTAAATGTGGGTGAGCAATGCTTCGTCACGAATGGGTCGGCTCGACCGGATTGATACCACGGCCTCACAGAAGACCGGCGTGAAACAACCACAGCGTTGTGTTTCGCCGTGTGAGTGAGGTTACCGGAGGCCCAATCCTTCCCCGCCCCCAATCCCTCCTCAATCCCTAAATCTCCAAATCCCTAATCCCTAAAAGGTCGGCAACGCACTCTTAACTCCTCCGTTGCGGGTGTCCATGGGCGGTGCTGACTGCTTACCATCAGGTAATCCTACGACATTAAAAAAAAACTCTTTCGTCGTGTCCTCATTTCCCAAATACTCCAACCCATCTAACCTCTAGTCCTCAAAAGACCAAACAAACAATTTGTTGCACCTCTGGTCGTATCCATGGGCGATTTGTCTGTTAGTTTTCTATCCCAACAGGAATGGGAATAAGATTAAATCGTTTTAGTCTTTTTAGAGTTTTAAGGGAAAAAAAACCGTAAGTAAGTAACACAAACCTCAGGTAATTCATCCAGGTTCCCTTTCTCAAGATTGGCGGTAACCTTCTGGTACATTCTGGTGAGCCACTTGGCAGTCAGACTGAATGCATGGCTCGATGCTATGCCGATGAAAAGCTTATGTTGTTGCGTCACATAGTCCAAAATCTGTGGTTCACCAGCACTATAAATAAAGTTTCATGGCATTTAAACTATAGCAGATGGTCTTGGATCTTAGGTTTTATAAATCGGAATATTCAAACAACGCAAGTCTCGGAAGTATATTTTAATTAGTTAGTTTCCTAGGTCATAAATAAATTAATTAGACATTTTAATACAATAAAATATTGAAACATAACTATACTTTTATTCATCGATCGGTCGATACACTAAGTTTTAGTTTTTTTAGCTAATTATTAAGAAATAAGTAAACTATTTGACTCAAAAATGTTGTGACGTCATAACTCAGTTTTTCATACGAATTTCATAGAAAACTATCGTTTTTGACGTTTAGATAAAAGTATTGAATTTGACTAGTTGGAAACTACCGTATTATACTTATAACTAGTGGTGGAGTTGATCACTTTTCGGGTCGCCAAATTCGCATTCCGTTATCAGAGAATAGAGCCTTATAATGAATTTAAGTAAGTATTTGAATTGTGGTGTCATACCAAATATGCTCGTGCCGTCCCCCCACAGCTTCATCACATTTGGTTTAAGTCAACTACTAAACACATTTGAATGCCTTTTTAGAGGAAAGAGTGCCATTTGCAACAGCCACTTACGCCACCATTACTTAACAGATGAGATTGATATTTCAATTAAGCCACTACAATTTTAAAGCCCTTTGTATAGAAATACGATTATATACCATAATGCCTACTCACTCTGGCTTCAGCTCCGACTGTCTCCTTACAGCAGAATATCTGACGGCGATCGTGACAGCCCTCGCCAGTTGGTTAGCCATGCCGTTGACGATAACCACTCTTACGTAGACCATTGTGCCGTAAGTCAGCTTGCTGTTTGGAGATCTCCTGAATGTACCATCCTGGAGAAGAAAGGCATATTAAGTCAGCATTACCGTCATAATACCAAAGAACAAATCTCCAATAATCCACAAGAGTGGCTAGCCTCTTGTGGGTTATTAGGGATTTAAGAATAGGGGATTTGAGGATTGAGGATTGGGGATTGGGCCTCCAATAACTCACTCACACGGCGAAACACAACGTAAGTCTTTTCTGTGAGGTCATGGTATCACTCCGAAGTGTCAAAAAATTATAAAACACTAAAATCAAAAATAAATTAAATTACCTTCAAAACTTGTGCATTCTTCATCAGCATCCTATTCCTAGGGATTCTATGCTGATCGAAACCAAGGAACCCATTGTTGACTGTATTGAAGCCAAGTTTGGCTCCGATTTCCCCGAGTTTGATGCCTGGAAGGGGCTGGTGGGTCTCTTCATCTCTTAGCTGAACTATGAACGGCTGGATACCGCAGCTCTTACCATTGATGTAAAGATGAGCCATTACCACGCAATAATTTGCTGTGTGTGCCACTACAAAAAAGTTTAAAAGTTGGTATAGCAACAAAAGTAATAGCGGTACACAGATTTAAAAGCATATTAAGAAAATGTATGAAAATAGACCGTCGTGGCATAGTGTTCCAGGCGTGCCCTCATCCTTTTCCCCGCTTCTCATGTAAGAGTGCGGGTTCGGAACCTGGAAGTATGTACCGATATAACTTTTTTGAATTGTATGTACTTCGAAATCGCCATTCCTCCTTAAGCAAGTGTGGTGCCTAATGCACAAACCTCCGCAATAGCCCTTGCTGATGATGATGAAAATAGAAAAAAGTACGTAATGTTCAAGACAATATAGGAACTCTGTTAAAATAGTACTCACAGCTTCCCGGCCACCATTTATAGGCAGTTAATGTGGGACTATGTAGGACAAATTCTTCAGTCTGAGTATCGTAAGTAGCAGTCGTTTCTAGACCACGGATAAAAGTTCCATGACCCAACTCCGTCTGCAAAAAGACACATTCTATAATAAAAATCCATAACATTCGTGATTACTAAAACTAAAACAAAACCAGCCTAAAGATGCCATCACAACACATTTCCAGAATACCTATCTACTTTAGGATAAAAATATTAATTCGTTCTACTGTGATTGGGTCACTTATTGCCAATTGCCTTAACTATAGGATAACTAATTACTGTTATCATAATATAAAATTTGGCCAGATTATTAAAATAATTTCACAAAAACAGATCACACAAAATCAGCCAATAGTGATTTTGATGGGTGATAGTACAGGAGTAAACAAGCGGGATATAACTGATGGTATCAACACCTTATTAAGACTAAACACAGGGAATATAATGTTATGTGCATTCCCATATGCTGACACTTTGTCAGAAAGTGAAAATAGTAGAATCCATCATCTGAACAATTTAATATTTTTTTTGACTTCTTGTCATAGTGACAAATTATCATTTTTTGACACTAACAAATTTGTTAGTGGTTTTAAGTTGACTCGGGATTATATGTATATTCCCAGGAAATGTAAATTATTAATTGCTAGTTTGCTAGCAAATAGTATTAATTTATTAATAAGTAGTTTTAGTGACAAAACTATATTGTTTAGACAATCTAACAATATAGAGATTAATTGTACATACAATAGTACGAAGGAGGCTCCAGATTTATTGACAAATGTGGATAGTACTCTGGATAATATTCTTTTAAACTGACTTCCACGACAACAGAAGATAACCAATTAAATTACTCAAAAACCACATTCATTGAAAAGGTTTCTTCTGGCAATAATATTAAGCATCAATTTGAATTAAAACATAAAACTAAATTAGATAACTTGTTGTCATTGTACAGTCAAAATATTCAGGGCTTATCATCAAAATTCTTAGAAATTGAATTGTTTTTAGAGAAATTCCAATATGATATTATTTGTTTAACTGAACATTGGTTAAAAGATTATCAAGTAGAAACAATTAACTTCAATAACTATTGTGTTGGCAGCAATTATAGCCGCCAAGCAATGATACATGGTGGTAGCCTGATTTTAGTAAAGAACTCAATAAAATATAAAGAAAGACAAGACATTGCCCTGCTGTCAATTGAACATACAATAGAGTTGTCCTGTGTTGAGCTGGATAGGCATATTGTAGTATGTGTTTATAGGCCTCCTAACATACAGAATCTAAATATTTTTCGCTCTGTAATGGAAGATGTACTGCGGAAAACATGTTCTAGTAGTAAATGTACAATAGTATGTGGCGATTTTAATGTTGATCTCTTAGAAAACAATTCTCATTGTACAAACTTGTTAAGTCTCTTTCAATCATTTGATTTGTCTAATGTTTTCCTTGAGCCCACCCGAGTAACATCCACCTCGGCAACTTGTATAGATAATATTTTCTGTAACTGTGATTATTTACAAAGTGAAATTGTAAATAGATTACCATCTGATCACAGTGGGCTCACAGTTAACTTTAATACTATAACAACTGTGCCAAAAAAGGAAATATTGTTTAGACAAATTACGTACAAAAAAAATTTATTCATTAAATAATAAGCTAAAACATGAATTATGCAGCCAAGTACAAGACAATAATTGCCCGAGTGAGATATATGCTAATTTATTATCCCTTATAAAAATACAATTCGATAAACTATTTCCTTTAAAACGTAAAAATGTTCAGTGTAAATTTGTATTCTGTGACTGGGCTACACCAGGTATTCGTATAAGTAGAGACAGGTTATTTGAGCTATACGGCCTGAAACCATTTAATAGTAGCGAGGCTTTTCGCAGACATGTTTCCAAATATTCAAAAATATTTAAAATAGTATGTAAGCATGCTAAGTCGCTCCACATTAGTAATAAAATCAGGACCGCGGAAAACAAAATAAAAGCTACCTGGAATATAATTAATGAAGAAACAGGTAGAAATAAATCACAAAACACTGAATTTAATTTAAAAACCGAAAAGGGATATACTAGTTCAAATTCGTCAGTTGCCCAGGAATTCGAAAGATTCTTTAAAAATATTCCTCTTAAAACTACGGAAACGTTAAAATCATCTCCAGCACTTTCTGTCGAGCTTCTCAGGGGTAACGTCAAAGAATGTCCTTCTGACTTTAGCTTTCAATACACAACCCCCCAGGCAGTAATAAAGGCGTTCAATGAGATCAAAGTAAAGTCAACTGAAGATCTTTGGGGAATGTCTGTTCGAGTGTGCAGGTCGTTTATAGAGACAATTGCGCCGCACTTAACTTTCATTTTTAATAAAAGTGTAGATCAAGGGGTTTTCCCGGATTTAATGAAACATAGTAAAGTAGTTCCATTATTTAAATCAGGTGATAGTACAGAACCTAATAACTATAGGCCGGTCTCTATTTTGCCAGTGCTCAGTAAAGTGTTCGAAAGGTTGATGCTTACTCAAATGCTGCGTCACTTTAACACGAATTGTATTTTCCATGACCATCAATACGGGTTCACCAAAGGACGTTGCACTACGGACGCAGGAGTATCACTTATAAAACAAGTTCTCAACTCGTGGGAAAAAGCACAGGATGCCATCGGAATATTTTGCGACCTTTCAAAGGCATTCGACTGTGTTGAGCACGAGACGCTGTTACTGAAGCTAGAACACTACGGCATTCGGGGGGTATCCCTAGATTTATTGAAATCATACCTTCAAGAAAGAAAAATTAAAGTACAAGTCAACAAAGTTAACTCACTGGGTGCTAGCGTATCTATGGGCGTACCGCAGGGCTCAATATTAGGTCCTTTTCTATTTTTAGTTTATGTAAATGACCTGCCCCATATGTTCCAAAATGAACCGCATATGGTATTATTCGCTGATGACACTTCATTGATTTTTAAAATAAATAGACGAACAAACAAATATGACGAAGTTAATAATGCCTTAATGAAGGTTCAAAATTGGTTTACAATAAACAACTTATTACTAAATGATAAAAAGACTAAATGCATTAGATTTATTTTACCAAATGTTAAAAATAACGTATGTGATGATATATTATTAAATGATCAGAAACTAGAATTTGTAAAAGAGACTACTTTCCTGGGGATCACTGTAGATGAGAAGTTGCAATGGGGGCCCCACATCAGGTCTCTAGCAGGACGATTGAGCTCTGCAGCTTATGCTGTCTGGAAGATCCGTCAGCTAACCGATGTCGGCACGGCAAGACTAGTGTACTTTAGCTACTTTCACAGCATCATGTCGTATGGAATTCTGTTGTGGGGACAGGCATCTGACGTTGAGTCTATCTTTATCTTGCAAAAGCGTGCCGTCAGAGCTATATATAACTTAGGTCGTCGCGAATCTCTCAGAGAAAAGTTTAGAGAGATCAACATTCTGACCGTACCGAGTCAATTTATTTATGAAAACATTATGTATGTTAGGAAAAACCTACACTTATTTGTAAAGGTATCTGACAAACATGATTATCATACTAGACATAGGAATAGATTGAGTCAGCCTTTATTTAGATTGGCAAAAGTGCATAAGTCATTCCTGGGTTTCTGTGTTAAATGTTATAATAAAATCCCAGTTGAAATTCAAAATTTAAATGAAAGCAAATTTAAATTATGTATAAAGAAACATTTATGTAAACTAGCATACTACAAACTAAATGATTATATACAAGATAAAAATGCTTGGAGGCTAGCTGGTCCTACTCCACAGGATGTTTAGAGTATTTTTTTTTTTTTTTAATTATTCAATTGTACACTATGTTGTTAATTGTTGATGAACTTCTAAGATTTTGTAAATGTGAGTGCCCTGTAACCTATTATAATTAAGTAAGACTTGTAGAATATAGGTACTTGTGTCGGCTGGGAGCTGTCATGCTCACTCAGAGGTCTCATTGGCGGTGGCACGGGCACTGGATCGTCCAATTCCCTATAATATGGTTGAGTTGGGCGGTGCTGGTGTACGTGTCATGTTCGTGAACGGGCGCCGCCTATTGGGACTGGTCATCTCCAGGCTGTCTAAATATGTTGTCCTTGAGGTTCACTTCTTTTTCGTACTTTTTGCCTGAACATTAGTGTTACATTGTTCTCACATATCAGAACCGACTAAATGATGTAACAAAGAAATGTATTGTAAAACTGATTGAAAAAGAGTAACCATGGAGTTTCTTGCTCGTTCTTCTCCATAGGAATCTACACTTTGGAACGAGCAAATAGCTTCACTAGAGGACAGACGGACAGACTGACACGCTTAATTTTAAAGCTCTTGTTATATATACTTTTTTGCCTTTTTTGCTTGCTTGACGTTCAAAAGTGCCTACTGTGGTCTAATTGAAATAAATGATTTTTGACTTTTTTTTTTTTTGACTTTTGAATGAACTAACCTGTGCATATGTTCCAATAATTTCCATCTTACTGGCTCTCTTCATCCAGTATTTCTTCTGTTCTTCATCAGCCTGTCCCAATATCGCTGGTATGAACATGGCAAGATGTAGGGAGAACGGAGAGTTGTCCTTAAACACTGCACCATGTAACAGGCTTCGGTAGGTAGCGCTAGAAGAGAACAAATATATTGTCAGCATCTGCACAACCGCCAGATGCAACCGATCGTCCTTCCTATTTCTCTTCTATACTCTTCGATTCTGTGCAACCGTCAGTCAATTCCTCATTATGATGATATTGCAAACTCCTGATAGAGATACAAAATAGTTAAGTCAGAGAAAGCAGTCCTACTGCTTTCCCTGACTTAACTATTTTGCGATACTTCAAGGCTAAATTTATTTATAATAACGTGACTTAACTGAGAAAAGCTCTACTAGTTTCAAATCACAACGGAACTCATACATTAATGAGCAGCGTGTATTTCGCAGCGATGTCACGCATTCAACTCTGAATTGGCTGCGCGACGTCTCGCCGAGTCAGTTTCTTCACGTGAGTAGTCGTTATTTTCAAATTTAGTATGTCTCACGGTAGGTAGGTACTATTCAAACACTTCAAGCCTGGCTCAGCAATACTTGGAAATCTTATAGGGGTTGAACTTGAAATCATACACCAAAGCTAAATTCTGATTTCTTGTGATTCAGATCGCAGCTGACCGTATTCCAACATTCTGGCAACTTAACTTTTTCTTCGAGAAAAGTAACATCATGGCTCATCATGACCTGAGTGGGGTGAGAGGAAGTTTCAATCCCACTAAAACACATCCCATTCCCCCTCCTGCTGCAGCGGTACATCATGGGGCTTGCACTCGCGACCCAGCTAATTCTGGCAACCTAGCTAAACCTGGCTAACCTTACTTTTTTATCTTTAAAATGCTGGTCAGCACAAAAGAAATTGCAATGAATGCTTTTAACTTACTTGGCTCTCTCCTCCTCTGTCATATTGGGATCCTCAGCCTCCTTCATCGCCTTATAGTAGACAACAGCTTTTCGCACGGCATTCTCATACTTCTCCTTATGACTGAGGTATTCTTCTGGTACCTCGTCTAGAAGACCTTTTGTGCTGAGCACTTTGTCCTCTGTAATATAATTATAGCTTTTACTTATTATTTAACTGAAATAAAAACAGAACTATAGCAGTGCAATCACTCCGAATAGTTAGGTACGCCTAGTTGTTATGATGTGCCTGTTTCGACACACCATTAAGGTTCCCGATACACAAAAGTGGCCTTTAATTCATACAATTTACGTTCTATTCTTACTTTTATGTAATGGGTCGGCAAACAAGCAGTCGGAATTCCTAATTTTAAGCAATCGGTACCGCCCATCGGGAGACCGAATAAACCAAACGCAATACCAGAAGCGTCGGCAGTGCGTTGCCGGCCTTTTGGGGATAAAGGTTAAGGAGATTGGGAATGAACCTCAATCACAAGGGGAAACATAACGCAGCGGTCGTTTCGCGCTGATTTTCGGTGCGTGGCCGTGGTATCACGCCGGTCGAGCCGATCCATTTGTGTCGTAACTAGAGGATTCGATCCCGGTCGATTTTTCTAGTCCCGGGATTTCGGGATTATCGACTGTTAATACCGGGATCCCGGGATAGTCCCGGGATTTTATTGGTAAAGAAAATGGTAGCAATTAAAAAGAAGTAAACATATCAAAATCAACCTTTTATTTTAAATCTTTACTTAAATCTTCAAAAACAAAACAAAATTATTATTTCTTCTAATAAAATTAACAAACTAGGCCCTTATAAAAATTATTGCCTAGTCTGTTTATTTTATCTTTTACAATAAACTTAAAAAAATCAACTTCTAATATTTGTCAAAAGAGATCAATGTTAATAGGACTACTAATATTTTAAATAAAATAGACCAGGAACTATAATTTACCTATTTAAGCCACGAAAATAAAATCTAAGAAATAACAACGCATCCAACGTCTCATCCGAAAGCATGCTTCTTAATTTGTTGCACAAATATGAAGCAGCGGAAAACGCACGTTAAGGCTCGATGGAAGTTGGAGAAATCGTCAATAAATTTTTATAAGCCTTCTCCAAATTATGACCTCGTGTGGAACTACTGGCAAATTTTGACGTTTAACGTCAAATGAAAGTAAGCGCGTTTCGTTTCACGCACATTTTTAATAAATTATTTAAAAAATGTTTAAGTCCCGAATCCCGGTTTTCGGGATCCTGGGATCGAATCCTCTAGTCGTAACTTATTCTCAAACTTATCTATTGGATAGTGGCCACGCGTGCTTTGTTAACAGATCCTAAATATTTTCATAGATTTTAAGATCATTGCCAAATATGCTCCAAAAAGATGAAGATGATGTTGATGATGTTGATGATGGTGGTGATGGTGGTGATGATGAATATCATCATTACTTCGGTTTTGGTGGAGAATTCGAATTCTCCACCAAAACCGCCTCATAGCCCATAAGCCTGGTATACAATAAATTTGGTCACCCAAAATACCTAAATATGCAAACCGATGTAAATTATGTCATCATCATCTTCCTGCCCTCCTAATTCTTTTAAAACGCCTACCATAAACTACAGAGCAAATCCCAAGAAACAACTTTGCTCAATAAAAAACAAATATGTCGGATAAAGAAAACCTTGAACTTAAACTTTGGACTTGACATACCATTCACAATCTACTATTCGTTTTAGTAGTATAAAGATACGTAGATACGATAACGTGTTTTATCTGTGCTTACTGGATGACAATTTAATCTGTAATAAATACTTAATTGCCCCCAAGTAAAGTCAAAAGGTGAATCAAATTCTAGGTACTATTAGTAGATTTACCTAGTACCTAGTCTGTGATAAGTACAATACGAAAGTATAAATATTATCAGACGCTTATGTCGTAGACATCTGTTTATTTAAGTAGTATTTTTTAGTTGGTAAATTAATAAGCCGATACTATTTATGTATTTATCGAGATTTTAAAGTACCTATATAGAATACCTACAGGATAATGTATCGAAGCTAAAACAAAATAGCATCAAAGAAGATATGACTCAAAAATCACTACTTAGATGTTATTTATTCAAGGAGATTACATCTAATTGATAACGAAAACAATGGCAACTGTGTTTACTCTTAAAGTTAAATTTTCAAACAAGTTTAAACAAATTGTCATTATCTAACCTTCAACTATAACAAAATTATTCCTAAATCGACTTTAAGCAAATGAAAATAGCGTTGAAATTTATTTACAAGAGCATAAAATACAAGTTCGTATTGGTTCGTTTTTACCAATGTATCCAAGTATATATACTATATATGTGCTACTCAAACAATTTAAAAAGTACGTTATAAAGAATAAACTTACCCAATTTCCTTCTATTTTCCGTCGCTTGAGCGCCTCCATCTAAATAATTCGTCAATTCTTCAACGTTAAATTCACATTTTTTTCTTTCTGTCAACAAATCCGCGTTCACTTTCGCGCTCATTTTTACAATTACGAAAATGGAATGTGTTGTCTGTGGTGAGGCAACGATTGAGTTAACAGAGCTGCAATTACCACCTCCTTGGTTATTCAACCGAATGACGCGTTATCAGAATGCTGTACGTGTTGATAATTTTGTTGTTTTTATTGTTATCTGAGGCTGTTAAACTATTTGTGAAGATATTACGTAGATTATGGTACTTGATTCAATTATCTAATAATTGTTTTGATGTTGTACCTTTGCTTCGTATGTTAAAGGTACTTGTAATTGAAGTGTGTCGTTTTACTCTTTAGCTCCTTCTCTAATAAGAATGTAAATTTTATTTGTGAACGTGATCTTTGAACTTTGAACCTTTAATTGCCTTTAATTTATTTCGGAAAGCGGTTTCGATGTTTAAAGACTTAAAACACGTACATCTACCTATAACTATTATTACTTATTATCAAACGATTTTTATATGAATTTTGGGAAAAAAAACAAAAATAAAAACTACATTTGTTTTTGTAAAATAGTAGATCTAGATAGCTTAAAGAACCACCTTTGTAGATAAAGCAGCGATTCTGGACCTATAAAGTACCTAATAGTTATCTAGTTTACAGATATAGTATAATTACCTAGTATTAATTTAGTAACCCCTGAAACAAATATCTCGATTGCATAATTATAAAAGTTTTATTAGCATTAAATTAGGTAAGTAGGTATCTATGACAAAATCAAACAGATTATAAAAATACGTATAAGTATAAATCATTTAATCTTAATCCACTTCCATAAAACAACTGCAGTGCATTCTGATGATAATAAGTAGGTACATTTGTCAAGAAAATATAAATGTTGATCCGCAATAAATTTCTATAATCAAATCAATAATACCAAAAACAACGTAGGTGGGAACTATAATCCAAAAAAAACCGATGAAAATATAGATAACAAAATATATTTTTTAAATATCGAAGGTACGTTATTTTCAATTAGTTCAGTCAGATACCCACCTACGTATACTTAGTATTTACATACATATTTATGTGCAAATTCCTTAACAATAACAAATAATTAATTAACAAATTAGGTATTTGGAAAGTTGTCGGGTATTGTTTAGCGTCATGGTCATGGCAATGGAAAAAATAAACTTGAAGTATTGACTATAGATACCATTTTCTGATGAAGACCTTTCTTCAGAAGATGTACAATATGATGGAGCCAACCATGCAGAAACCTTTTAAACAGACAATGTATATGAAACTGTATGTTTGATAATGCACAGGAGAAAATCCAAGTGTCCAAAAACGTTGTATATAATCTAGGTATATTATGGTTCCTGCAATCACTACCAAAACATACGTTATGTCATTATAATTAACACATGAAAACTACATATTGAAAACCTTCTTCATTTCTTTCTTTCTTTCTATATCACAGATTTGATTTCATCATTGGCCTTAAGTATTTATAGTAAGCCTGGTTGACTGGCTCCTTGTTCATAGGACTCCTTAGAGCTTCGTCCATCAGCCGCTCGTAGGCTTGACCATCATAGGATCCTAGGGTTGAATGTAGAAGCTAAAACAAAAACAAAATTTTGAGTAAAACCCTGTTTTGAATGCTGACTTAGTTAAATGTTTCAATTCGTTCGAATATAGTGAAAAAAAAGTATTTTTTCTAAGTAAATTTCGACAGTCCAAATTATAATAATTAAATCTGCTTTTCAATAGTCACACCTAAAGCAAATTATTTAGAATTTAGAATACTAACGCATGTTTTTTTAACTTTAATTTCAAATGTGTCATAGAGACTTTAAAGCGATTGAGATTGAGACTTTCTTTGCGTGATAAATAGTAATAATAAAAAAATATATTTACTTCGTCCCGCAGGTCAAAAGCTTCGACGATACCAACGGCATTAGGCCTTATTTTCTGAAGCTGTTCTTCATAAGCCAACTGCAGGTCCACGATATCCTTTTCCGACATTGACGTGTACTGCAAAAAAAACATAGTTTTATAGAAAAAATAATCATCATAAAAACTCTGCAAAATAATAATAAAAAAATATTCTCTGTGTTAAGCAACTTAACTCTTAACTAACTAACTTGTATAAGACATATAAAATAACCTTATATATTTTATGACTTAAGTAAATTCTTCACGAGTCTTGAGCCCCAGATGTGGAGGACTGCACGGTTGGCGCGGTGGCTGGGCACGAACCGGACCATGCCCATCCGCCCACAATTCCCACCACGGGGTTTGACTCCACCACGGAACAACTCTTTGTGTGCTATGCTAAATGCTCATAACCATGAGCAACATTGTGCGACACCTCGTAAAAAGTTGCCTCAGTCATCTGATAAAAATAAGATACTAATATCCTCACCAGCAACAAGTCTCCAGTCCTTTCCAAAGCCCAGTAGTATAAGTAGAGAGTCGAGAGCTGTTCCATGACTATCTTCACATTCGGACTCGAATTAGCAGTCAGTCTTACAATCTCACTTCTGTACGCATCCGATATCACAGCACGGCAATGAGCCTGGAGAATAAAAAAGGAACGTTCATAAAAAAAGGTTATTCTTTTCTCTCTCTTTGTAATATTAGGCTGAGAAGCCACAAGGGTTTTTTAGTCATTAAGAGTATGACATTCAATCTCGCCGCTCCCTGGGAGACCCAAGAGAAGTAATTTGATGTTTTACCACCCACAAAAAAAAACGGTATCAATGAAACAATGAAAACGTGAATTTATTTTTGCAAATATATCTTAACACAGCAATTATACACAACATCAATGCATGTACAAAAAATTGAATAGTTGAAGCCGGCATTTCCTATCTGACTATTATGGGAAGAAATGCTTAAACAAACCCAGAGGTCAAATCCCTTTCAAAATCCAGATAATATAAAAATAATGTATCGATTTCGTTAGAGATGCAGTATATTTAGTTCATTATCTTTTCGTTTATTAATTACAGCGTACCTCAGCTGCCGAAACCAATTGTATAGTAGACGATTCCCATGCATCCACTTCAGATAATCCCGATCGCATACGTTTCCTCATATTCTTCACACATGAAGATAATTTTCTGAAATAAATTGAAAACACAGCTTTTAATCATTATGAATACACAAAAAGAATATATTATAAAGTAATAGTTTGTCTTTAATATTAAAAATGAATAATGAATATGGACTATCACGGCTATGTTAATTTTCAAACGGTCACCCAGAACGAATAAAAGGCCTAAATTAAATATCCATTCAAGACATTGTCTGTCTGTTTTTATAGTAAACTGTCTGTGTCCATGGACCCCAGTAGTTTATATATGAATAAATTGTTCAAATCGGTCAAGTAGTTTTGGAGCTCTTCATAATATTTATTATGTAGATATGAATTTAAACTTACCCTGCAGCCAGAGCTTGGAAAGATCTGACGATGCCTGCAGGGCTGCTGTCCCAGGGCTCCTTACGTGAGAAGGCCAGCTTCAGGTACGACACAGTAGGCGTCAGTGGCTGATTCGCTTCAGCCTGCTCGTATGCTTTTACCAAAAACCTGGAAGCCGAAAATCAAAAATTTACTTACGCATCGAATTAACGCGGAGGTAAAAATACTTCGTAATCATTTTACGCTTATATACATTGCGAGCCTCATAGATCATACACATACCAAAAAACGAAACCAACGCTAATTTATGCCTCTCTTTGTAATTTGGGTGCATTTACAAACACAAATTCACCACACTCATGAAACCCAGACCCGGAACAACATTTTTTGGATCACACAAAGAGTGGTCCTATAAGGAGATCGAAACCACGATACTGTGACGGAAAAGTGGTTCAAACTCTTTGACATCATGACGTCAATGGATGGTTGTCAAACGTTGCCTAGAGATTGTAAATTTCGTCGTGAATTGTCAACACGAGTTGGTGTAATCGGTAAGGCGTGTGGATTACACCACAGAGACCCCGAGTTCGAGTCCCGCCGTAAACATGTAGTTTTTTAGTTGATAGAAGTTTTGTGGAACTTTCTGGAATTATTTGTGTGAAAGAAATGAAAAATTAAAGAGCGAGAAGGAGAATAAATAAAAATGAGTAACGAAATTATTGGAAGGTTCTGGAGTCATGACGATCAAAAAGAATAACGAAATTGAATGTTCCAGAACCTGAACCGGGGGTATATAAGCGGAACTGCGGCTCACCGCTGGCAGTTGAGTTCTAAGTCCAAAGCGATTCGGAAGAAAAGGAAGAGGTGAAAAAGAAGAAAAGTGAGTGAAATAGTGAAGTGCAGTGAAACAGTGAAGTGCAGTGAGTTAAGTCAGCGTGAACAGCAAAGTTGTGTCAGTTGGCCGGACTCTGCTGGAGAGGAACGCCGATTACCAAACTCCGTGGACGCTGTCACTTAAGTACAATAGAAAGTCCGAAAACCGGTATTAGTGTTTAATTTCATCCAATCCCGTAACCTAAGCCCGCATAGTCAGGAACGTGACGTCAGGCACGTAACATTTGGTGTCAGAAGTGGGATTGGAGAAAAATGCCGCTAGTGCCGCAGGACGTAAGAGGAGTGAGTACCCGTGCAATGGCAGAAGCGCAGCGTGTGAGGGAAGAGAGTGCTGCAGCTCAAACCAGCGATGCAGAAGCCAAGCCTGTGCAGGTGGATCTACTGCTACAGCTGCAGCAAATGATGGTAGAGCAAGCGCGCCGCCAAGAAGAACAGCTACGGGAGCTGAAAGAAGATCAAGCTCGTCGCCAAGAGGAGCATGCACGCTGTCAGGCGGAGCAGCTACGGGAGCTGAAAGAGGATCAAGCTCGCCGCCAAGAGGAGCAAGCGCGTCGCTTGGAAGACATGCATAAGGATTTCACGAAGGGACTGCAAAAGGCTGTCGAACGGGTACAAGAAGTGGAGGAAGGGTTAGGCAAGTTGGAACATCGTGTCAAGGCGATAGAGGAGAGAGTGGAAGAAGAGATCTCCAAAATCAAGCAGGAAGTGACAAGCCCAAGCCCTTTGAAGAGCCGAAGCCGTCTTGCAGCCGTTTTTGAAACCCCAAATGCGGCTTCAAGTGCAACGAAAGGGCTTAAGATTCCCCATTACGACGGAACAACATCCTGGACCGCGTTCAAGCTACAGTTTGAGACACTTATGGAGGCTTATGGTTGGACTCAGAAGGAAGCACAGTCAGCCCTTACCCTGGCCCTCCGTGATCAAGCGCTCTCAGTGCTGGAAGCTATCGGCGCAAGTGGGGATCTCAGCTTTAGTGCCCTCCTCGACGCACTTGAGGCACGTTTTGGAGACAGCCACCTCGAGCACGTGTACAGAGCGCAATTAAAAGAGCGTACTCAGCGTGCTAATGAGGGCCTACAGCAATGGTCCGTGGAAATCGAGAAACTTGTGCGTCGAGCTTTCCGGTCGACTCCGTCAATGATTGAAGGCACGCTTCTCCAAGCGTTCATTGACGGTATTCGGGACCCCGAAGTACGAGCCGCTGTTCATCTGGGCCATCACAAGAACATGAAAGAAGCTCTGGCCCATGCATTGGAAGTGGAAGCCGTGCGTGGTAACTCCCGTACCTTACGTCTGCGGGAAATGACGACAACGGAGCAGGTACCTCCACGCCGTCTGAACTTCATGTGCTATGGATGTGGAGAGCGTGGGCACATACGGAGCGACTGCCCGAAGAAGATGAACCGCCAGGACGCGGCGGTCTCAACTTCTGACCAGCAGGGAAACTTAAATCCAGCCAGGGCTGCGGGGTGGGCGCTGGCTGGTAGTGGAACAACCCCAACAATCTACATCAAGCAAACCAACGATGGAAATACTCTGGTGATAGACGGTCAAGTAAATGGGAAAAACAGTCAGCTAACATTAGATACTGGAGCTTCAAGGACGGTGATAAATGTTCGGCTGCTCGAGCAAAACATCAGGAAACACCTTAAACCAATTGTTGGCCTACAAATGAAATCAGCTACCGGCCAGTGCATACCGATAAGTGGAAAACTGCATGTAACAATCAAAATTGGGGAACGTGTTTATCGACATGAGGTTATCGTGGCCAAAATTCTGGATGACTGCATCCTGGGACTTGACTTCCTGCAAGGGCACCAGTGTAACATCGACTTAAAATCTGGAGTTTTACTATGTGGAACTGAGGAAATTCCGATGAAGGGTGGAACCCTGGGAAAAGTTTGCTGTTTAAGAAGAACTGTTCTTGCACCAAAATCACAGACTCTCGTACCAATCGCATTACCTATGAGGAAGGAAGGAAGTTTACCTCGAAGGTGCGCTGTGATTGATAAATCGGAACACGTGAATTCATGGCTACCGGCAAGAACTGTCGTGGGGTCATCTGATGTTAACCGCATTCCGGTATTCAACTTCAGTGATTCAGAAATTACGATTGAAGAAGGAGAGCCTGTGGGCGTATTGGAAGAAGTGGCCTGGATAAGAAAATGCTCGGAGAATCTTGTGAAGAAGGACAGTACGGGAATTGACTTTGTAACGAAAATCTTAGACGAAAACAAAAGTCTGACAAAAGTGGAGACTATGAAAGCTAGAAATTTACTTCTTCGATTCTCTGATGTGTTTTCAAGAAGCGATGGTGATATTGGCCGAACTGGTTTGGTGAAGCATAAAATAAACACAGGTGATACAATGCCAATTCGTCAAAGGCCCAGACGCATACCATTCGCTCGTGAGAAAGAGGTTGAAGAAATGATTGACGATATGAGGAAAAATGACGTGATAGAGCCCTCTTCTAGCCCTTGGTGTTCACCTGTCGTGCTTGTCAAGAAGAAAGATGGTTCAACGAGGTTTTGCGTAGACTATCGACGATTGAATGATGTAACCAAGAAGGATAGCTACCCGTTACCAAGAATCGATGACACACTTGACACATTGAGTGGCATGAAATGGTTTTCAACGCTCGATCTGAAAAGCGGCTATTGGCAGGTGGATTTGGATCCCAAGGACAAAGAAAAGACCGCATTCTCAACTGGGAAGGGACTCTGGCAATTTAAGGTGATGCCATTTGGATTATGCAATGCACCGGCAACTTTTGAGCGTTTGATGGAACAGGTGCTGGCGGGACTGCTGGGTGAAACCTGCCTAGTTTACCTCGATGACATCATCATTGTTGGACGGGATTTTGACGATCATCTAAGGAAATTGGAAAAGGTACTCGACAAGCTGCGTGGAGCAAATTTAAAGTTGAGTCCAAAGAAATGCTCTTTCTTCAAGCGCGAAGTGAATTATCTAGGACATGTTATTTCTGAGAGAGGAATTGAGACTGATCCAGCCAAGACTGTCGCTGTCAAGGAATGGCCAACACCTAAAGACAAAACGCAAGTTCGGGCATTTCTTGGATTGTGCTCGTATTATCGGCGGTTTGTGAAAGGATTCTCGGACATTGCCAAGCCATTGCATCGATTGACAGAGGATAAACGTGCCTTTGTTTGGGACGAGGATTGTGAGCAAGCCTTTCGAGAACTAAAAGAACGGCTTTGTAACACACCAATTCTCGGATATCCCAGCGCGAAAGGAATATTCGTAGTTGATACGGATGCCAGCAACATTGGAATAGGAGGTGTCCTTTCACAACGCGATGGTGAGCAGGAGAAGGTTATTGCTTACTTCAGCAAGTCACTATCCAAGCCAGAGAGGAATTATTGCGTGACCAGGAGGGAATTGCTGGCCGTAGTCAAAACTCTGCACCATTTCAAGAAGTATTTACTGGGACGGAAATTTTTGATCAGAACAGATCACGCTGCTTTGAAATGGCTGCTTCAGTTTAAGGATCCCGAAGGCCAAGTAGCCAGATGGTTGGAACAACTTCAGGAATTTGACTTTGAAATCGAACATCGCGGAGGAAGAATTCATGGCAACGCAGATGCATTATCGAGACGCCCATGCGTGGAAGATTGCAAGCATTGTGCCAAGAAGGAAACTGCTTTTCTTAAGGTGATAAGGACTGATACTGTTGACGAGGCATGGGGAGATGATGCGATGAAATTAGAACAGGAAAGAGATGCAGATATTAAACCAATACTGGAGTGGCTACGAAGTGGTAACAAGCCAAGTTGGAGTGACGTCGCCCAATATAGCGCGGTAACGAAAGGTTTATGGGCACAGTGGAAAAGCCTTACGCTGCATAATGGACTTCTGTGCAGGAAATGGGAATCAACAAACGGCAAGGACGAGCATTTGCAATTGGTGGTGCCTCGTTCAAAAATAAGGGATGTATTAAAAGCGTTCCATGATGGATCTTCTGGAGGACATTTGGGAATTAGGAGGACTTTGGTGAAGATCAAGGAGAGGTTTTATTGGCTGCATTGCAAATATGACGTCGAAGATTGGTGCCGGAAATGCACTAGTTGTGCAGCTGTCAAGGGTCCACAAACAAGAAGCAGAGGGGCGATGAAAATCTACAATGTTGGTATGCCTTGGGAGAGAATAGCCTTAGACATCGCTGGACCATTTCCAATCACTGATTCGGGCAATCGCTACGTTTTAGTGGTTATGGATTATTTTACAAAATGGCCGGAGGTCTTTGCCATACCGAATCAAGAGGCAGTAACTGTAGCCACGAAGTTGGTAAACGAGGTATTCACCCGATTCGGAGTGCCCTTGGAGATGCACAGTGATCAAGGACGGAACTTTGAATCCCAAGTTTTTCAGGAAACTTGTAAACTTTTGGGAATCCATAAGACTCGAACGACCCCTTATCATCCACAGTCAGATGGAATGGTCGAACGCTTCAACCAAACATTGGAGCGACACTTAGCAAAGGTGGTTGACAGCCATCAGAGAGATTGGGACACTTACATACCTCTCTTCTTGCTTGCCTATCGGACTGCTGTACATGAAAGTACCGCAAAGACGCCTGCATTTGCAAATTTTGGAAGGGAATTGAGATTACCGGCAGATCTTATATCGGGCTGTCCACCTGGCGACTCTCGCACCGAGTTTAGCGATTACATAAGCGAGTTAAGGGCAAAAATGTTGGACATTTATGAGCAGATCAGGGAGGCCGGTTTTCAAGCTAGTGATCGCGCAAAGACGCGCTATGATCGACGAGCCAATTCTGTTGGGTTTGAAGAGGGGTCATTGGTCTGGCTTCATAATCCAGTCAGAAGGAAGGGAAAATCTCCGAAGCTGCAACCGAGTTGGGAAGGTCCTTATGAGATAGTCACGAAGATCAATGACATTACTTACAGAATTCGGAAGACTTCAAGGAGCCCTTTGAAAGTTGTCCATATAGACAGGTTGGCGAGGTATTACGGCAGCAACGATGCTCGGGACGAGCGAATCTAAGAGGGGGGCAGTGTGACGGAAAAGTGGTTCAAACTCTTTGACATCATGACGTCAATGGATGGTTGTCAAACGTTGCCTAGAGATTGTAAATTTCGTCGTGAATTGTCAACACGAGTTGGTGTAATCGGTAAGGCGTGTGGATTACACCACAGAGACCCCGAGTTCGAGTCCCGCCGTAAACATGTAGTTTTTTAGTTGATAGAAGTTTTGTGGAACTTTCTGGAATTATTTGTGTGAAAGAAATGAAAAATTAAAGAGCGAGAAGGAGAATAAATAAAAATGAGTAACGAAATTATTGGAAGGTTCTGGAGTCATGACGATCAAAAAGAATAACGAAATTGAATGTTCCAGAACCTGAACCGGGGGTATATAAGCGGAACTGCGGCTCACCGCTGGCTGTTGAGTTCTAAGTCCAAAGCGATTCGGAAGAAAAGGAAGAGGTGAAAAAGAAGAAAAGTGAGTGAAATAGTGAAGTGCAGTGAAACAGTGAAGTGCAGTGAGTTAAGTCAGCGTGAACAGCAAAGTTGTGTCAGTTGGCCGGACTCTGCTGGAGAGGAACGCCGATTACCAAACTCCGTGGACGCTGTCACTTAAGTACAATAGAAAGTCCGAAAACCGGTATTAGTGTTTAATTTCATCCAATCCCGTAACCTAAGCCCGCATAGTCAGGAACGTGACGTCAGGCACGTAACAATACGTTGCGCAGCAGTCGATTGTCAAGCCACTTGCATACGTTTGTGTTGCCAAGATTTTATCACATGACAAAAGAAGTTTAACATTTTCCTTTTAACATGTATGTTATCAAATCAAATAAAATTCTTTATTTCAAGTAGACCACAACAGGCACTTCAAGCAAAAAATATATCATAAGGTTTAACTTTATATGTGTCAGTCTGTCCGTCTGTCCTCTAGTGAAGCTATTTGCTCGTTCCAAATGTAGATTCCCGTGGAGAAAAACGAGCAAGAAACTCCATGGTTACTCTTTTTCACCCAATAATGGATTTTGAACATACATAGGTATGTAAATGTAGATAGAAGTAAAATTACAATTGTAGATACCAACCTGGCAGTTTGCAGAAGCAACACAGTGTAATCTCCCTCATACGTCCTGGTGGCAGACACGAAGTTGTAAAGGTGGGGGATGCCAGACGAGATCATGTAGCCGTGACCTCCACACGCGTGGCGACACTGCTCGATCAGGTATGCTGCATCAGACGTACTGACTGCTTTTAAACAACTTGAGAGGGCGTGGAACTGAAAAACAAATGAACCAGTTTTAAATTGTAGAAAACACTCCAGAAAAGAATGTATATATCTATATAAGTTGTCACGAGCTCCGATCCACTAATCCAAGGATCGGTTTAGATTTTTTTTATTAATTATTAGCAGACCCAGCCACGCATTGCTGTGGCTAAGGTAAATTATATTGTGACTATAAATTGATATGTAAGCTATCATATCTTTCAAGTTGGATCAAAATGCACACGGAATGCAAATCAAATTTAAAATCGGTTTAGTAGTTTAGGAGTCCATCGCGGACAACCGACAAACACGTGACACAAAATTTTTATATATAAAGATTTATTTTTAGCCTTACTATGGACTGTGTTCGTAGTGTTAAGCGCAATAATATACCGTGACCACGGTTCGAAGCAGGACAAGGAACGGATGGGTTTTAGTCAGTACTAAACTGACACTCCCTCTCGCCTCACTCAGGGAGGGGGAGACATATTTAAGCCAAAGCTACAAAAACAGTAAATGGATGATACTGATAATGATAATGGATTCATTCTTATACATGGAACCCTTAACATAACTGTTTCTTGAGTAGTTCTTAATTTATTTATTCCTAGCCTTAGTTCAAAGTCAGTAAACGTAGCCGATGCATGGCTCTTTTAACTCATGACATAAGTTAATTATTTCTATAGTCTTCAACATATAAATGTTTAATAAAGTAGGTTCATACCTCGGGTAACTTATCAGTGTTGCCATCCTTCATTTCTCTAAGCACAGCGCTGAAGCTCTGCCACAACCATGTGCTGGACAACTGCAACGCATGCGCAGTAGCTATGGTGATGAACAACTTGTGCTGCTGCGTTGCGTAATCCAGGATCTGAGGCTCGGGTGCACTGGAAACAATAAAGTTTGTAAAAAAATCTGAATTCAGAATTCTTTGGAATTGCCTCGAACAGGAATGAAAAATACTTTAAGAACCTACTTGTTGTAGAGTTTATTTTTTTATGTTTCTTCATTTATAGTATATACCTAAGTGTATCTGTACGTATATCCCAATTAATGCTTAAGTCCTTCAAAACTACGCAAAGAATGTTGATGCAGTTTTTAAGTAGATAGGAATTGGTTTAGTGGGGACCACTAGATGAATTGAGTTTTCTAAGATTTAGGGATTGGAAGAGGAGAAAGTGTATTGAGCCTCCGGTAACCTCATTCACTTTAATTTCTAATTATAAGTTTGAAATCGCCAACCCGCTTTGAGCAAGCGTGGTGATTAATGCTCAAACCTTCTCCGTGTGAGAAGAAGCCTTAGCTCAGCAGTGGGCACTTATAGGCTGATGATGATGATGAACCTCATTCACACAGAAACCCAACGCTGAGGTGGTTTCACTTCGATCGAGCCGACCTATTCGGGTCCGAAGCATGGGTCTCCCACGATGGAATAAACTGTAGTACACATCGCGTCTACTTACTCAGGGTTCGGTCGGGACTGTCTACGAATAGCAGAATACCGCACAGCAATGGTGCAAGCCTTCGCCAGGTTGAAGGCAGCTTCGTTGACTAAGATTACTCGTACAAACACCATCGTCCCATAAGTCAGCTTGCCATGCCTTGCCACTTTGACGTAGGTACCGTCCTGGAATTAATTTGCCATGAAACAGTAAAGCTAAAGATCCCTTATGTAAATAACTATTAGGAACCGCATGACCGCATGTTTGGACACCGCTGAAATGAATGCAGAGTGCCTAGTACGAGATTTCTTTACATTTTGTGTTTAGCCCTCCGATTGGTCGGTTAATTTGGAGCCTTCCAATCACATCAATCGTCTTAAAGTAAAGCAAATTTGACACTAGTACATGTTGCTCTAGGCTATCTTCTATCTCCATTTCCCAACTTAAATAATAATAATAATATTCTTTATTGTACACCATTAGGACAAAAACATAAAAAAATAAAATAAAAACAAACAAACATGAGTACAAAAGGCGGTCTTATCGCTAAAAAGCAAGGAAGAGATTCTTCCAGACAACCTTTGGATGGAATCAAACTGTAGAAGATTTTGGAACGGGGCAGTTAATGGCATACATTCAGATAAATAAATATACATACATAATATGAGAACATAAAATATAAAGAACAATAATGATAAATAAATAAAAGTGATAGTTATTACAAGTTATAGGTACAGTGAGGTGTCTTAATTGCTCAGAATAAACAAGAAGAGCGGTAAAAAACATGTTACTTGAAAAACTATTTAAAATCTGTAGGTAAGTTACCTTCAAAACCTGAGCATTCTTCATCATCATATGTTCTCTTGGTATCCTATAATGATCAAATCCTAGGAATCCATTGTCAGCCGTATTAAATCCCATCTTTGGTCCGATTTCTCCCACTGTGATCCCAGGGAGAGGCATGTGGGTGTCCTCATCTCGGATCTGAACGATGAATGGGTGGGTGCCATGGCATTCACCCTTTGTGTATAGCTGAGCTACCACGATACAGTAATTCGCTGTATTTCCAACTGGAATAAAAAATTGTAGGAGAATTATGGTTAGGAATTAACTACAGTACCTACAACTTCAACTGATTGACAAGTTGATGTGGACAGTTAAGGAGCAGACGTGGTGATTGATGGTCATTCCTTCTCCACGTGAGGAAAGATTTTGGCTAGTGGAAGAGTTTTAGGCTGACGAAGACGATGAACAAGTTAACTTTTGCTTTCTTCAATTGCTTCTTTAAGTGATGTCATTACAAAGCCAAGGAATTTGCGTGCAATTAACATTTCGAAATGAAGTCACACTTTTTGCAAGTTGTTGCGTCATAATGGCAGTGGTATAACTTCCTAATCTTCACAGTATTGTTTATATAAAGTATAAAGCATCTTTCAAGTCAAAGTTAAGTCAGAATCATTTATTCCAACCAAACCATAAATGGGTACCTTTGAAACTGAAAATCCTATCACATATAAACCAATATAGAAAACTCACGGCCTCCTGCCCACCACTTGTATGAGGACAAAGTGGGGCTGTGCAGAACAAACTCTTCAGTCTCTGGATCATATGTAGCAGTCGTCTCCAGGCCTCTTATGAAAGTACCGTGGCCGAGCTCCGTCTACAAGAAGACATTTAAAGTTTAGTTTTTACTTTTTATGTAACAGGTAGGTAGGGGGAGGGCAATTAAGTAGACTAGTTACGCTAATCTGTTAAGGTGAGAAAGAGGGATAGAGCTATACACCTTTTATAGCTCCATCCCTTTCTCTCCCGAAAGATTTACGCTTTAACACGGCATGGTAGGCCTACAGGTGATTGATATCAGCAGATCAGATCATTGACATCTGCGAACATATACAATACGGAGAGGAGATATATTTGCCTGGATGATTTTTAGAAAGCTGGGGCATGAGTTTTTTGCTCTATTGAAATAGGGCAAAATTACATAGTAATACATATTTTAATTGTCTTATGAAACATAGCATAACCAGCTTAACAATAAACAGAACCCTTGACTTAAAACCCAGAAAAAGGTAAACTTCACAAATCCATTCAATTTCGAATTACATCAACGAAACAAGTTCGCTGACAAAACTCAATTAACCAATTACAAATGGAATTACAACAATGAGCTCAGCACATTTAGTTCAACGACTTACCTGGGCATAGGTCCCAATGATTTGCATGTCCATCGCTCTTGGAAGCCAATAGGACATCTGCTCCGAAGTACATTGACCCATAATTGTGGGCACAAACATGCCCATATGAAGTAAGAATGGAGATACTTCTTTGAAGAAAGCATCTGCTGTGCGCCTGATGACGCCGGAATTTATTCTGAAATGGATAGAAAATAATACTTTTTAATTGCGATCTCCAGTCAGTCTGCCGTATGCTGATGTTATTAGTATGGTAAAGACTCTTATGTTTTTTTTGTGAGGGGAAAATCAGCAAATGACTTCTCTTGCCCAGGGTCGGGCGGGAGGGAGTGTCAGACTCTTACAGACTAAAAACCCCCCTGTTCCTTCTCCTGCATAAACTGGGCAGAGGTCGCGGTGCCTCATTGCGCTTACCCCGCAGCCCCGGCTGAACATCAGCCCTATGGGGCCCTGTCTGTGGTGGTCTATTGACTCTTTGAGGCGCGCTCGGAACACTACGCGCCGTACGCTCGGGTCTGGTTTTGGTCGGGCGGCGAGCTACCCTTACTCGCCGTCCGCAGACCCGCGCTTACGGTGGCCGGAGATCAAGACTCTTATGTTAAGGTGACGTAAGTAACTACGAAGTAAATATCACTATTCTTCATAATCATCATCATCATCAGCCTATAAGTGCCCACTGCTGAGCAAAGGCCTCATCTCATACGGAGAAGGTTAGAGCATTAATCACAAGGCTTGCTCAATGCGGGTTGGCGATTTCAAACGTATAATTAAAATTTATTAGTCCAGGTTTCCTCACGATGTTTACTTTCACAGTATGTCAATAGTGTCTAAATAATCATAGAAAGTACATCCCACACAACCCACACCCTCATGCATGAGAAGTGGGCTCCTTAACCTCCGGGGCACCACGTTGTATATTCTTCATAATACTTTATTAATTTTTAAATATTGATAAATAAAAAAGAACACTCTAAATACTCCCCTTCTGCGAAGGAGAAAATGATTAAAAACATTTAAAAGAATTTTCGTGCTCGAGACGTAATGTCAAACTCTTACTGACTAATAAAAACCACACAGTGCTAACTCCTGATCAAAGACATGTATATAGGTAGCCATATTGCAAATATGAAGGAAATGGAAAGTGCATAACTTTTATTTTTATTTTAAAGTTGATCATGAATTATCTTCTCCCGCTGTGGGTGGGGCGAGTGAGTGTCAGACACTTGCTAATTAAAAACCATCTCGTTCCTTCTAATGCTATGCCGAGGCCGCTTGCAACTGCAACCCTGGCTAAAAATCGGACAAGAATTAATGATTAGGAGTCAAAAGAAGAAGTGAAAGTGTGGGAGAGCCAAGCTTCGGCACGAATGGGTCGGCTCGACCGGAGTGATACCACGGCCTCACAGAATACCGACGTAAAACAAACACAGCGTTGTGTTTTGCCATGTGAGTGAGCTTACCCTTCACCGATCCCTCCCAATCCCTAAATCTCCAAAACCCTAATCCCTAAAATCGGTGTTCATGGCAACGGCGCTGATTACTTACCATCAGGTAATCCGTCTGCTCGTTTGCCGACCTAGTCCATAAAAAAAACAGACAGAATTTTTTCTACTATATAAAACAAAGCAAGAATTGTTTCATTAAATATTATTTTGTAGGTAATGTTTTGTTTTGTTTATTCTATAAGGCTTTCTTCTCGTCTCTTGGATGCTTTGCACGCGTATAATAGTTATGTATACCGGGATTTAAAAAACAGAAGCGTTTAGAGCGTTAGCTCGAGTGCTCGACTATAATACGCAAAACAAGTATAATTTAGCCTATAGCACTCAGGACAATAATTGTAGCTAATCTATCAGTGAAAGAATTTTGGCAATCCGACCAGCCGTTCCGAAGATTACCCCTACATACACAGTTATTTTACCTCTTTATAATATACTATATTGTAGAAGTATAGGTGAATAATATATACATATTTATTAAGTTCTACACTTCATTTTCTACCCAACATAATATAAAAAAAATCGAAGCACAATAGCAATTTATGTAAGGCAAAAACACTGTTATTGTGTTTTTGAAATTATTTATTAAGTCACTCATTTTACTTTACAAGTAATGTATTACTACTTGAATACCACTATGTACCTATATTGTATAATGTAAATATATTACGATTACAGTGCGTCAGTATAATAAAAACCACTTCACAAAGTTTATTAAACTGTACTTCAAGTGTCTTTATTGTTTAAGTTACAATTGAAAATGTTGTTAAAAGTAAATGTATTATTTGTCTATTTTATCTATACGTTACTAGCTATTATCACGTAGTTTCACCTGCTGCTCGGCTCCATTTGATCGTAGTGTGATGTTTTATAGCCTATAGTGCGCAGGAACATTGTAGCTATCTATCAGTGAAAGAATTTTGGCAATCCGACCAGCAGTTCCAAAGATTACCCCCTACATACAAACTTACAAAGTTTACCTCTTTATAATATTAGTATAGATTAGCGACCCGCCCCGTCTTCACACGGCTGCAATGCTGATACTAAATTTCTCCACTATTTAATGGATGTTATTATACATATAAACCTTTCCTCTTCAATCACTCCATCTATAAAAACCGCGTCAAAATCTGTTGCCTAGTTTTAAAGATTTAAGCATACCGTAAAATGCTGTAACATTGCCTTTATAGCTCAACATTGCCTAAATTCAAAAAAGTTAAATTATTGCCTTAACTTAACTATTTAATTTTGTTGATTTTTTGCTAAGTAATGATACAAGTTCCTAGTTTTCTGATAATTTTATTTCAAAATAATTAGATTTTTTAGTTTTTATTCAATATTGTTTTGAAGAAGTTTCTTCATAAAATTGTTTTCTTAAAACTTATATCCGTACTAAGATGTTTTCACAAGTTTATGGAAGACTATTAGTTGATCTCACTAATATAAAACTCTTTGTTGATTTTATGTAAAACTATTTGTGTCCTCTCTGCAGGCTGCTGTTGTAATTTTTATTATACGTAATAGGTACCTACCAACATTAATTATTTTTTAAATGTTAACCTACCTACCTTTTTGTTTTCCTATGAAAAAATTTTACTAGAATTTAAGTACCATTTGATTTCTTAAAAATATATTTAAAAATTAAGAAAAATTGATGCATTTCCTTTGGGGCAGCCCTGCACCGAACTCAGTTTTGTATGGGAGTTTTAGAGAAACCTGCACAACTTTGCCTAGCATTGTAAAAAAAAAATTCTTGTGCTATTCAAGATTCAGTTAAGTCTGGCGTGCAAAAGCACTTTATGGCAATATGGGTGTCAAATCCGTTACCAAAATACCAATTCATTTATAAAGATATTATGACAGGCAATGTTGTAGATTTAACCTCAACTTTGCCTACGTTTTCAAAGCATTTTTTTTGTGCTTTAAAGGTGTTTTTTACTATTAGCAAATGTATTCCTATAGCTTAAAGTCCAATATTGTACAGTAATTGGAAAAACATACGACTTTCTTAACGATTAAAGATTTATCGAAGAAAAACGCCAAATTCCGTGCAAAGTTGCAGCATTTTATACCTGTGTATGCTTATTTATACTTTCATAACATTCAATTTGTTACCTACAGAAAAGCGAAATAAATTTAAGCGAATTTTATTCCGCTGTTCAGACAAGCTTTAACAGGAGAATCGCAAATTTATTTACAATTAATTTTTGCAGTTACCCAAAAGTTTCCAATCCAGTAAGGTGAGCAAAGTGATTCTTCACAAGGTCGGCATACAGACATGACTTCCTCACAGCATTCTCATACTTCTCCTTAGGACTCATGTGTTCTTCTGGGAAGGAATCCTTCGAGGCTCCACTGTTTAAAGCTATGTCTTCTGCAAAAGGAAATTATGGGATAAATAAAGGAAGGTTGCTATTCAGAGTCATTGGAGTTGATCTGTGGTCGATGATGTGGGCGTGTTGTCGCTGACGATGATGAAGATAGAGTACGTCTCCCTATATCATATTGAATTTAAAAAAGATAAGTATATTTCCTTCATATTCTGTCTTTTCTTTATATAAACGTTTTATAAAGATATCTATACAATGAAATATTTTATGGTTAACCCTCCAAATTAAAAAGACAAAAACTATTATGGGAGTTTTGGTCATCCTTGTAATAATATAATAGTATTAATGTATATAGAATACTTTATTCGTAAAACAGAATTTCACTTTACTTACACAAACATACTAGTAACGTTATTTAAAAATAATGGCGGATATTTTCAGAGATTGCCATGTTGAACCAACCAAATAATCTATCAAATTAATCTCCCAGCAGAGGAAACCAAACAAGTGACGTCAATAAGCGACTTTACTTTTTCCGACGTAAAAACACGAAAGAAAAATCAAACTATATCTATCTAGTTACATTCAGAATCAGATTTTTTTTACTGGTCTACATCCGCGCCTTTGCACGCGTTTTAAAATACCTATAATGTACGGGGTTGTGTAATGTGTCGAATAATGTGCCGGGATTTAAAAAAACAGCAGCAATTTACACGTTAGCTCCACCAAAATACGCAAATCAAGCATAATTTATTGCCTATAGCACTCAAGAATATTGTGGCTATCTATCAAAGAAAGGATTCTGGAAATCCAACCAGCGGTTCTAAAGATTACTCCCTACATATGTACAAACTTACAAAATTTTACCAGACTCTTACTGACTAAAAACCCCCTGTTCCTTTCCTTGCTCTGGGCCGAGGCCGCGGTGCCTCGTTGCGATTGACCCGCAACCCCGGCTGAACATCAGCCTCCGTCTGTGGTATTCTATTGTCTCTTTGAGGAATTTTGGTCCGGGGGCGAGTTACCCTTACTCGCCCTCCGCAGACCCGCGCTCACGGTGGCTTAAGATCCTTTCTCGATGTACAATGGTGTTACAGAAACATAAGTAGTAGACCGCTATATTTTATGAGATTTTTTCTCTCTAGAGAGACAGATTTGCGATTAGCAACATTGCACAACACTTATAAATACATTGTTAGAGTACAAAAACAATTGCCATGCAAGAGGTCTCGGAGTTGATTCAGGGTCAACTCAAGAATTAGTTAATAAAATTAGCTAAATTCTATTCAGCAGTTTTGAAGTAAAAAACTAACAAACATACATCCGTCTATATTAAACCCTAATCTTCAAAAGGCCGGTAACGCATTCGCAAGACCCTTTGTGTTGCGGGTGTACATGGGCAAATTGCTTACCATCAGGTAATCCGTCTGTTCGTTTATCGGACTATCTCATAAAAAATCCACTTACCTATTTTCTTCCTACGCAACGTATTCTCCTCGCCTCCATCAAGAATATGCGTTACCTCCATAATATTAAAGTTGCATTTCGCCCTTTCCATCGCCAGATCGGGGTTCACCTTCATTTTTTCTAACTGGCTCATTGTAAATCCTTTAAAAACTTGATTTATTTATAAATGCAACACATATGCGTTCCGTCGTCAACACTCAACGCACAATAGGCAACTGAAATCGTCCGAAGTGACATTATCACGACTCATCAATAATTTTATGCAACTAATATCCATATAATGCCTAATTTCACTAAGCCTGTACACTGGACGACCGTCGAATTATTTGATAAAGTCTCATTATCAATGCATTATAAATGCACCCGGATAAAATTTGACATTGAACACATCGAATTTTTTTACATAACAACTCTTGTTTATACACTGATTAGAGTGTCTTTTGTGATATTACACTGCAATTGATAGATAAGAATGGATTAACGTTTGTTTAATTTTAAGCCGCACAAAAAAGTCTTAATGTACTTATGAAGCTCTGTTACCAAGAGTCGCACAATGCAGTTGAAATTGAGACTGCGCATGCGTCACAATACTTGCGCTTGAGTTGTCAATTCAACGCTCAGTAAATGCGAATGACCTCTCGCACCGATGCGAATGTATGAAGCTATTTATGTATATGTATGTATATAAAGACGACAGTCATAACAGCGACCGGTTTCCTTTAAAATTATTTTTATTTATGAAAAAAAAATATGTAAAACTATGTTACTGGCTTGATTTGTTTCGTTGTTGGTATCGTATACATACTTTGGTAATAAATGCAAATGAGAAATTTATATTTACGAATTTCAGTTTAAAGTTGCAAGAACATTGTAAGAACTTCAATTGTGTGAGAGCCATGTTTCCAAATGAATGGTCGGCTCGACCGGAGTGATACCATGGCCTCACAGAAAACCGGCGTGAAACAACTATAGCGTTGTTTTTCGCTGGCGGTTTGGCCCTCCGGTAACCACACTGACAAGTGAGGTTAGCGGAGACCCAATCCTCCCCCTCCCCCAATCCTTAAATCTCCAAAAGGTCGGCAACGCACTTGTAACTCCTCCGTTTTACAGATGTCCATGGGCGGCGCTGATTGTTTACACGAGAAATCGGCCGCTCGTTTGACGTTTTTGCACACAAAAAAACAGGTAAGTACAATAGGGTGTTTTCACAAAAAAAAACAAATTCGTTTGATAATGCATTTGATTTAATTACAATCTTATATATAAGATACAATAAGTAGCTATAAAATGTACATATATTTTATTATACTTATCGAGTTGTCGAAAAAAGAAATATAAAAAGTCTTTATCAAAAATCACTGGGTACCTCTTCCATCCGCCTCTTTAAATTGCATTGAAAAAGGCGGCATTTCATGCGCTTTCTTAGTTCCAAAAGAGTTAATGGGCGGTGACCTATTACTTTGTGTTTACATACAATTTTCACCAATCATGACATGAGCCCCGTGTAAAAATATCCAATCAAAATCACTGGCACAAACGTTCGTACCATTATTAAGAATTCCAACACGAAATTCGTAATAATACGTACCTACTTTGATTGAAAAATTGTTACATTTTATGTACATTTTACCCATTCTTTATGCAATCCGAAACCATATTAAACATTATTGTACTTTATATTTCTTAAATATTTCAAAATATCACAGTTTGGCTTTCATCATCAGAGGCTTGAGGTATTTGTGGAAGCTCTGGTTGACTGGCTCCGCGTTCAGAGGACTCTTCAGCGCTTCCTCCATCAGGCGTTCGTATACGCGGCCGTCGTACGCGCCTAGTGTAGAATTGAGGATCTACAAAACAAGACAAGATGATTAAAAAAATAATATATAGAAATCTGCCTCCTTCTGATAGCGAGGACAGTTAGCTGTAGGAGAAGCAGGCCTCAAGAGGCGATTTTTATGTTCCACAACACGGAAGTAACCAACTAGTCAAATACAATACTTTTATCCAAATTTCAAAAACGATACTTTTCTACGAAATTCTTATGAAACTCAAACTATGACGTCATTCGTCAAAAATTAGCTAAAAAATATCGAAGTTTTAGTGTATCGACAGATCGATGAATAAAAGTGTGGTTATTATTTAATATATTGTTTTTGTATTGAAACGTTTAATTACTTTATTGTTGACCTAGGAAACTACCCAATTAAATGATTTTGACTTTAGACTTTTTCGAATTAATTTATTTTTTATCTACCCAATTGATCAATGGGTACATAAAATAATGCACCTACATGTGCGAATAGAAACGAAATTATACCTCATCTCTGATGTCGAAAGCGTCGACAAGCCCGACGGCGTTGGGTCGCAGCAATCCTAACAGAACTTCATATCTGGCCTGCAGCTTGGCGATGTCAGCCCCCGTTATTGTTGAATACTGAAACAAAACAATCAAGGTTAGTTTCTTTTGTTATTCACCATCATTTTTATGGATGGAAGAAGTTATCAAATGCCTTCTCTCACTCAGAGTGGGACAAGAGAAAGAGACAGACTCTTGTCGACTAAAAACCATCCCGTTACATCTTCTGCTCTAGGTCAGGGCCGCGGTGTCTTATAACGCTTGTCACGCGACCCCGGTATATTCTCCCATTTAGGAACTTATTACTACGTTTTCATCCTTATTTAAGAAGTTTTGTCAATAAACTTATGTTTCGCATACAAATGAAATTCTATATTAAATTTTAAAGGCTATTCAGGCATTGTGAAAGAACTAAGACTCCTTCCCATTAGCTGACCTATGATATATTTATTAGCTGTTCGATTCCCGTAAGGAACAACTCTTTGTATGATCCAAAGATCTGTAAAGTAAGTTCGGGTCTGGGTTGGTTTTGTATGTAAATCTGTATGTCTGTAAACGCACCTACGACACAGGAGAAAATTTTTATAATATGGGGCAACGTTAAAAAAACGAATTACCAAGGTAAGTTAGGTATTACATAAAACTTACTTACAATAAACGCGCGTCATTTTTAATTTTAAATACAGTAACAATCTAATTACTTTACTATACATATGAGTTTGTGTTAATAGTTCAATTGCTTACATTGTTTACGCCTGAAACTAAAAGTTATCGTGTAAACAAAACTCAATTTCAATATACCGAACATAAATGTTTATCAATAAGGCACACATTAGAGTGCAAAGTTTTTTTTACATGTAATAACGTTATTAGCGGTTTGTGAATTTTTAGCTATTGTTTAATTTAATGCAGATTTGAAGTCCGATAAAATATTCAGAAAATAAGATGATTCTATTTTCTTTTTGGGTACCATCCGAGTACTTCGCCAATTACATTTTAAATTTCGAATAACTCAAATTTGACGTACGAATTTTAGTTCACGTGGGCAAAAATTAATATAATTATATTTCGTCCTCAGAATACAGAACAAACCAGAAGGCGTCATCGCGCTTCAAACTAAAGCAACTAAAACCATTCTCAACTAGAATAGTATGAAATTTCTACGATTAGTCAATTTTGGCACGTGGCATGTCGTGACGTATTTACGAGTATCAATTTTAATTTCATTATGCCGTTTTGTGTTATTACTACGAGTAAAAATGCGGCTGGAATTACGAAAAAAGTGGATAAGATTACATTGACTGCAATAGTATATTTAATTAATTATTGAATTTTTTTTATCGATTTATTTTTCTATGAAAATGATGCGGCCATTTTGTGAGTGTTGTCATTTTTGGTGAAAATTTACCCACTTATTTATTTGTTGTGGGTTATATTTTTGTCCATTATGGAGCCTATTTTATATTAGTTTTCCTGACAAAAAAATAAATACAAATCATACAAAGGGCACGGTTAGATTAATTTTGGAAACCATCTAGCCAGAGCATAGTTTGCTCAATTCACTTTGAAGAGATATATTTATGACAAAGGTGGTTTGAAAACAGCATATCCTACTAAGATATATCTATACTAATTATAATGCTGAAGAGTTTGTTTGTTTGTTTGCTAGAATGCGCTAATCTCAGGAACTAAGTAAAGTAAGTAGACTTCTAATCTTTAGTTCGGAGTCTAAAGACAATACATATAAAAAACTAAACCAGCAAAAGGGAACGCAATAAAACCTTTGTACTTATTGAAGCTTTATTTTATTTGTTGTGTATAGTAGGTGTAACTAAAATTAACAAATCCAGAAATCGTCAACTTTTATGATACCTTTATGAAATGTGTGAACAACTAGTCTGTTGCATTTATCGTAAGTTTACCTATTTTGTTGGGTTTACTCGTATCTTACCCTCCTGTTGTAAAATTACCCCAAACCAAGGGAATTGTTCCACTGTCGGCAACACTACGCGGGTGGGAAGTGCGGCTGGCGGGGGGATTGACGTATTGTTTTTGGACACATTTGACGACATGTAATTATGAGTGAACGCGGATTCTGGTTTGTTCTGTCTTCTGAGATTTTGTCCTAAATTAAAAGTTCTATGACTACCAATGACATCATCCCAGTCTACTTAATATCCTGGACTTCTTGGAATATGGACGTACGGATTATCGAGTACAAGTGATAAAAACATACCAATAGAAGATCTCCCCGTTTTTCGAGAGCCCAGTAAATGAGGTACAGTTCACCCATCTGCAGCAGCACTTTGCCAAGACTCGGTGACGACTGGGCTGCAAGACGTGACAGTTCCCTCCACGATACTTCACATAAGATGGCGCGACAGTGAGCCTATTTGGACAGATCACATAATCAGCTTAGTAATTACCAAAAGACTATACTATCGCTAGAAACATTTGGTTAGAAACCTGAAACTTTCTCAAATCTGCTATTTGAGAAAAATCTGCTATTTGAGAATGTTTCAGGCTGGTTATCAGCGAGAAACTACCAAGATCCACGAAACATGGCGCATGTCGGAGCCCAAGGTCCACTTTCGGTAGCTAAACTAACGAAGTCAAGAAAAGCGGTATAAAAAGAGTTGCGTCTGACTATATGCCACGGCTTTGAGGAACAGAAATAATTAGAAGCTATTTAAGCTAATTTTATTAAGCCAGCTGGTGAACATTGATGCATAATGAAGTTTATAGATAAATAAATGGAGTTACGACTCGAAGATTATGGAGGGTTACAGCCCGAGTGCGAATTTCAAAATTTATCAAGCACCAATATATATTTTTCCGAGATTAGGGTTCCTAAGTTCCTAAGTTTATTTAACTGGGCACCACTGACATACGGTGACAGAAAGCATCGTGAGAAAACTTGGACCCATAATTTCTGATTATAGGTAAGTTGAAAATCGCCAATCCGCTTTGAACGAGCGTGGTGATAAATGCCAATAACAACTTTCGCCCTATGAGAAGAGATTGTTGCTCAGCAGTGGGCACTAATAGGCTGAAAAACATAGAAGATAGACGAAATAGAATAGAAGAAGGTTGCCAAGGCCTTTCAAGGTCATAACATTACTGGCTATCTCGGATCGATATAAGTAACATACATACCTCACTAGCATTAACTAGCTGAACTGAAGCACTGTTCCAAGCGTCTTCATAATCCATACCGCTCCTTTCATATTCCTGAAGGCTTTCACAAGCAGCTTTCGTCTTTCTGTTTGGTAAATAAAAAATAACTTAGTTGGTTTTTCAAGCCAAAAGGATTCAAATTTGAATTCAGAAAATGACCTGTCATTTGTTTTCAGAAAACAGTTACAATAGCAATCATGGTTCCATATCAAGAGGCACTTTGTTTACGAATCATTTATTTTGATAAATACTTTAGACAAAACCCAATCTTTAATAGTAGCCGTTTTCGCTCTTATCCTCATAAATTATGAAATATAAAGATTGATGTATATGCTCTTACCCTGCAGCGATGGCCAGGAAGCCACTAACGATACCCTCGGGGCTGTTCTCCCATCTCACACGGTCGTTGTTCACGAACCGCACCAAATAAGACACTGTTGGCGTCATTGCGTTACCCAGTGTTGCTTGCTTCCAAGCTTTCACAAGGAATCTGAAAAAATTGCGTTTATTAGTCTTATTATCGAAAAGTATATGGATTATAAACATAACAATCAATATCAACTGATAGGACATTATAGGGTTGATTAAGAATTATAAAAAGAATCGATGAGGAATTTACCATTTTCATAAATGATTCCATTTTTAAATGTAAAATTTCTATTCTAACCTGTCTTTTTAAATACATCGCTTACTTTTTATGTCTGATTGGATGGTAAAGAACAAAAAATATAAGAAATAATAATAATAATAATGAAAAAGAAAGCATAAAAAAATATTTTTATTTTTAATTTTCCTGTTTCTCACCTATTTGTTTATTTATTTATTCTTGTATACAATTGGGTAGTTTCCTAGGTCAAAAATAAATTAATTCGACGTTTTAATACAATAAAATATTGAAAAATAACTATACTTTTATTCATCGATCGATCGATACACTAAGATTTAGATATTATTTAGCTATTTTTTTAAAAATACGTCAGCTATTTGACGCAAAAATGCTATGACGTCATAATTCAATGTTTCATACAATTTTCATAGAAAAGTCTCGTTTTTGACATTTGGATAAAAGTATTGAATTTGACTAGTTGGAAACAACCGTATTGCATGTCGTACGACTTAATCCCTTCTTTTGAATTTATCCAATAAAAAAAAATTGTACTATTGAAGTAAAATAATGTGTTAATGTTGGCAAACTAACCTCACCACCGAATTTCATTTCTAACGGATACCCAAAAACTCATCAAAGAATTCAATTATTAACTTGTAAGCACAAACCTGGCAGTCTGCAGCATGAGCACGGTGTATTCACCCTCGTAGGTGATGGTAGCGGCCACAATACCGTTGATGATGGGCAGGTTGGAGGAAGCCATGAACCCATGCCCTCCACACGCGAGCCTGAACTCCTCAACGCGCGCTGTCGCGTCCCGACTGCACACAGCTTTCAAGCAACATGCTAGAGCGTGGAGCTGGAACAAGGAATTTGTTCTTACTTATGCATATCCATAATGTTATACAAGACAGACAACAAGGTAAGCATTAAGAATAATCTGTATTCCATTTTCTTTCGATTTTATAGTTGCTCTTCTGATACAGGGTCAATGTTCAGCCAGGGTTGCGAGGCTCAATAAGGTACTGCGGCCTCGGACTGGAGCAAGAGAAGGACGGGATGGGTTTTTAGTCAGTAAAAGCCTGACACTCCATCTCGTCTCACCCTGGACGAGAGAAGTCATTTGATATTTGTCCCCCACTCACAAAATAAAACACCTTTTGTTTTCAAACAATGATTCCGTGGTGAAATCGTAGCAGCCAGTTGCCCAGCCACCACTTTATAAATGTTTAAATATTAACTTTATCATCTTTAAATAATTGAGTAGGGTTAAATATTTATAATTTATAGGTCTCACCTCGGGCAGTTGATCCATATTGCCCTTGCCAACATCAGCGATGACCTGGGAGTAACTGTCCCACAGCCAGCAGCCAGTCACTCTGAAGACATGGCTGGTCGCCACTCCGATAAACAGCTTGTGTTGCTGTGTCACGTAATCCAGGATCTGAGGCTCCGGTTGACTAGAAAATAAGAAAAGTTATTTTATAAAATGTGAAAAATATAAACATCTAATAATATGCGCCATTGAAACTAGAAGCCGAAGCACTTGAATCTGAAGATATCTTTGAGTATAGAACTGTGACATCATTTTTATCATAGCCTAACAACAAATGTATGGGAGAGCCAAGCCTCGACACGAATGAATCGGCTAGACCGGAGTGACACCACACCCTCGCAGAAAACCGGCATTAGACAACCACAGCGTTGTGTTTTGCCATGTGAGTGAGGCCTAACCCTTCCTTAATCCCTAAATCTCCGGAGGCCTTAACCCCGAAAGGTCGGCAGCCGACTGGTCTTTTGGTGTTGAGGGTGTAGATAAACGTCGAAAATTGCTTACCATCAGGTAACACGTTTGCAGTAGCCCTATAACCAAAGACAAAAACAAAGCCATTTGGTAATTTTATGTGTCATCACAATTTTATTGAGGCCTGAAGAATTATATGAAAATACTCACCCAGGTTTTGGCTGCGACTGGTGTCTGACTGCAGAATATCTGACAGCAATGGTAGCAGCTCTTGAGAGTTCGTAAGCCACATCAGTGACAATGAGGACCCTCACGAACACCATGGTTCCGTACGTCAGCTTGTCGTTTTTAGATTTAACGTATGTTCCATCCTAGAACAAAGAATATGGTCTTCTTGTGTCATTTACTATCTTTGTGTGCGTCTCAAAAGTTATTGAACGTTCTACTAAATTTAATTTCAATGTTATAAAATGACTGCGGTACCAGCTCACCTTCAAAATTTGAGCATTCTTCATCAACATGCTTCTTCTTGGAATTCTGTAGTGATCGAATCCAAGGAAACCATTGTTGGCTGTTTGGAAACCCATCTTCGGTCCAATCTCTCCTACTTTCACACCAGGAAGAGGCATATGGGTTTCCGTGTCACGGATTTGAACGAAGAATGGATGGACGCCATAGCATACACCCTTCGAATACAGCTGGGCCACTACGATGCAGTGGTTAGCTGTGTGAGCCACTGAAATAAAAAAGTGCACGTTTGAAAAAAGAATCATTTAAAAATATTGCCAATGTTTTTACGTAGAATCTAGCTTCGAAGTTCTTAACACAATAAAATGGTATCGAAGAGAATAGAGTAATAGTTTAAACAAATTTTCTTCGGCTGTACTATTGGCGCAGAGGCTACTATGCAACGTGTTGTGAGTTTGAGGTGTACCTAATACTTAATTTTGAGTTCCCAAACTTTAATAGCTCAAAATTTCCTCTGGTTTTTATCAACGTCGTAACATTTATCAAAACGATGTTCACGGATATCATTAAGTCGTTTGTGTTGATAGGATCGCTCCACTGTTCTAGGTATCATTCGAGTGCATTTAGTACATAGGACGATTATCTCCTTAATTCAAAACTAAACTATGCATTATCATCATCATAATCAGCCTGATATCGTCCACCACTGGACATAGGCCTTCCCAATTTCACGCCACTGAGCTTGATGTTCAGCTCTTGTCATTCAACCACTGCCAGCTACCTTGCGGGTATCGTCAGTCTACTTAGCTGGAGGACATCTACACTCCAAAAGACTGTTGTCTACCACAACAGTTATCGGTGACCTGCACCTGCACACTCAGTGCCAATTCAGTTTGCTAATCCTTTGTGTCCTGCCTCAGAAATTATGAATAATTTTCTGATAACAAAAAACTGTTTGCACAACTTACATCCTCCTGGCCACCACTTGTAAGCTGTCAGGGTAGGAGTGTGCAGCACAAATTCTTCTGTGGCAGGATCATATGTAGCTGTTGTTTCTAATCCTCTCAAGAAGGTTCCGTGGCCGAGTTCAGTCTGAAACGCAATTTGCCACGATTATAAAACATATTTCCTTCATCTGTTGCCAAAGACTTGAAGACCGTAAAGCACAATGGCGTCACCTGGAAAAAGCTTTTTTATTTTTCGAAGTATTATGTATTGACTGGCTTATGTAATTTACTGATCCTAATTTATAGAGTTTCAAGGAAGACAATTCAGAATAATAAAAATATAAAACTCTTTATCTCGCAACAGCAATAAAAAAAAAATTATCATCGCTACCATCCCATTCTCTTCCACTGTTGGATTGATACCTCTCCAGCACCACAAAACTGAACCTTATAATCAGTACAAAAGCATAGGACATGTTACCTGTGCATATGTTCCAAGGATCCCCATGGACATGGCTTGTGGCAGCCACTCGGCCATCTGTTCAGGGTCTGACTGGTTCAGTATGGTCGGCACGAACATCCCCATGTGTAACATGAACGGTGATATGTCTTTCACAACACCGAATGTCACACGGTACTTATTTGTTGGCCTGTTGGTGAAGAAACGAGATCATCACTAGAGGCCCATTTGGCTCATTTCACCATACCTAAGTAGTAGAAGTAGTCCCTCAAATTCCCAAACCCCCAAAAGGCCGGCAATGCAGTCCAAATCATTGCTTTCTATCAGTTGATACGATCCACAAAAAACACAATATATTCATTCAGCAAAAATAAAACATTATTAGTAATTAGGTAGACTATTTTTTATTAATTTACAATAGGTGTCTGACAAATTGCATGTCGTTAAAAAGGGTATCAAAGTCGAAAAATATTCCGTAAACCATGTGGTTTACGGAACGGTTAACTATATGTATAATAATATTATATTACATATATAGGTATATACCTACAAGTTGTTTTAAAATGTCAAAGTAAATAAATAAATAGTCCGTCAATCTATTCGTCAGTGAAGCTAGGTATATTTTAAAACAGATATACGAGCAAGAAACTATATTAAGGTGGGTTACCTATCGAGATTAAAAAATATAACTATTTAGTAATAATCCTTTGGCGTCGACTTACTTGAAAGCATCCATGGTGTTATGTTTAGCCGCGTACTCCTTGAGAACCTCATACAAAATGCAAGCCTTCTTGACGGCATACTCGTATCTTTCCTTGTGGCTGAGGTATTCCTCTGGCACCTCATTCTTTGTGCTCAATCCTTCTGTATTTAGCACCAGGTTCTCTGAAAAATAGTAAAGAGAATATTTTAATGGCGTTAATAAAAAATATGTATTGGCTTACTCAAAGGTGATACTAATGATAACTTAAAATATTCCTTAGTAACTATTTAATTTATTTGGGTTTATTTATTTAATTTTTAAAATTAATTTAATATAAAATAAACTAATTTCGGAACAAAGGTTTCACGTTTAACGTTACGCAGTTTTTTTTTTTGTTCGAATAGTCATTTAATAACTTCTCCCGTCTTGGGCGTGTGTGTCAGACTCTTTGCTCATACTGACTAAAAACCACGCGGTTCTTTCCATGCTCGGGGCACTTGATATTGCGCTTGATTTTATTTACAATATTCTCCGTGAATACCGCAGGTTTTTCTAAATAAACTTCTCTAACGTGATCTTTGGACCTCTGAACTGAATTGAAAAATGCAAACGCGACTACAATTGTAAGTTAGTTTTTAACAAAGTATTATACATATATATTTTAGGGTAAGCTGATCGGTTGTTTTCGATTATTATTATTTATTGGCAATATACTAAAGATAACTAATAAATAGAATAGTAGGACATGTCAATTAACATTCTGCATCTTATGCTGTACGTATTTGATACCGTTCGCAGAACAATGCGAAACTATTCGAAGAAGAATATCATAGTAAAATGAACTATGAACCGAGGGCAATTAGTACAAAAATAAGGATTAGACCTATCAAGAACGTGTTATCAGTACAAAAATGAGAGATTGTAAAAGAATTAACATATTAGCAAAGGAATCTTTTAGATAAAAAAACGGAGATAAGTAAACTATTGAAGGGATATCGAAGTTTGAACCCTATCTATCAGCGTATTAACATTTACTTTTTATTTCAATTTTAAATACGTGCGTTCTTTATTTAAATACCAAATATGACGAACGTTCTGTAACTGGCCAAAATATTTGTAGAGTGTTTAAAAGCGGTCCGTCTCAATCATGCCATTTACTGGAATTTTGAGACGATCAAACTAAACATCACCATTGATTTTATATAATGTCATTTGATATACTAGATGTTCTGTCATGCCTGCTAAGGGAAAAACTTTATGAAATACCGTCCCAACACTCGCTTCATATAAAAAGCAAATGATGCTAAACTGAACACTCAAACAGTTATCAATAAAATAAATACAAGTACGTTTGTATCAATATTTGCAAATACAAACATATATATGTATATCTATAGGTATATGTATACGGGGCAAAGTACGGCTGACCGTTCGGTGTGATAAAGGAAACGTGTCATCAATTCAAGATTCATCTTGTTTATTAACTTGACTCAACGACTTTATAGCGCGATTTTTTACAATGACATTTTTTAACAATAATTTGCTTGTTTTAAACCGACTTCCGAAAACAGCAGGTTTATAATACGACGTATGTATGTTCTTTTTTCGAATAAATCGGAATGGTTTACCGTTCAACTAAGGAGTTTTATTTAGGAGTTCGATGTACCTTATAAAATAAAAAACTGTCAAATTTAGAATACAAAAAAAAGTATTTCTTTTGCTATTGCTTTTGTATTTATTTTGCTAATTCTATTTTCTAATAAGCAAAATAAATAAACAACTTTACGTTTTAAAATTATACTTAGCTATAAGAAGTTGCGAATTAAAATTTTCGTAATAACGTTTCATTTCAACCCTGCCTCTACTGAGTACCAAAACTTGTCTTTAACAACACAAACTTTAAATTTAGTATACATTTTAAGCATTCCTTTGCAAAATAAATATAAATAAAAAAACTGACTTACCAACATAATGTCTTTCTTCGGTGCCCTGAGCTCCTCCATCAATTAAATTGGTAAGTTCCGTTACATCGAACGTACATTTCCTTCTTTCTCTCAAAAGATCTTCACACACTTTTGGCTCTGCCATTTTTGTTGACGGTCACCTTTGCACTGACTGCGCCGATATATTGTTACGACGACAATTACGCGATAATGAATGATTAGATTACTCAGGCAGGGGGCTCCTACAAAAATAATTACATTGTAAATAAGATAAGCACAAACTTAACAATATTATATTTAACAAAAAACTGTTTTCCTCTGTTTTTAATCTGTGCAATCTCACAGGACCCTCGTCGGACACATTCTTCATTCTTCATATAATAAAACAGGACTAATTTAGAAAAATGTTTTTTTATATAAAGCCATTAGATGGATGTTTTTATTCTCATCCAACCACTGCCAACTACTGCGGATATCATCAGTCTACCTAGCAGTAGGACACCCTATAAATGGAAACGTAGGTTTGCTTAGACGTGGTACTAGGCCTATGTCCTGCACATCGATTCTATAAAATTTGTTTGATTTTTAATCGAAAGCGAGAAATTACATTATAGAATGCAATTTTTAAGGTCATCTGAAACTTTATCTATCAAAATGTTGCGGTGAATTTAGTTCAACTCGCAAGTGTAGCGCTAGTGTACTACTACTCACGGCGGATTCAGATTCGAAGTTTAGAATGAAGTCTTACAGAATCACACTGCAGCAGTGGACGAAATCAGGGTAATAATGAAGATTAGATGAGATGGTTTTAATTGGATTTATGGACTAAGAAAAACAACACACCGCTGTCGCTAGTACCTAGATTATTCAAATTATGTTTAGTGTATAATATACCTACAATTTTTTAGCAGTTTTTCTTATTAATTCGATCATAACAATTTTACTGACTGTCGATTTGTATAACCAATTCGACATTAGTTGGTTCGACCGGAGTGATACGACGGCCTCACAGACACATGATACCGGCGTGAAGCAAGACATAAGTAGTTGAAATTCACCGTATGACCACCTTTTGAGGTTAACGGAGGTTTAATTCTTCCCGCATCGACATTCCAAACCTCAAATCTCCTGTCCTTAATCCATAAAGACCCATAAGAGGCAGGGATGTTTTTTTTAAATATTTGTTTTGTAGAGAAAATGTTTCTTTTCTAATTTATGTATGGAACGCACTATCGACTTCTAGGTATCTGACCTTCTTATTATTTATTAAAAAAAAAGAAACCTTTTTTTTCTAAAACTGAAAATATACCTTCTTACATACGTAGAAAACCTGTGTGACCTTCAAAATCTTCCAATGTATTGTACCTGACTATGTTTTAAAAATTTTGCATATATAAGTAATCGGTAACCATTAGGTACACTTAAAATATTTACATAGAAAAAAATTGCGACGCTGGTTTCATAAAGTCAAAATCAAAGTTTTTACTGCATGTGTCTATATTTCTCTAATGCGTAGTTTAAATCAAACTTTATAAGGCAGGAAAGAAATAATACTTAGTTATATTATATACGGTAGTTTTCAACTAGTCAAATTCAATACTTTTATCCAAATGTCAAAAACGACACTTCTATGAAATTTGTATGAAATACTGTGTTATGACGTAATAGTGTTTTTACATCAAATAGCTTACTTATTTCTTAAAAATTAGGTAAAATTTATCTAAAATGTAATGTATCGATCGATCGATGAATGAAAGTATAGTTATTTTTCAATGTTTTATCTAAATATGGAAACTACCCAATTATGCAAATTCTTAAATCAAAATTTCAAAATCTACAAATTCTTTGGCTTAAATAGGTCATAGGAGCAAACAGGAGAGGCGTCATAACTGAATATCGCTCCAATTTAAAATTTTCTTCCTGACCCCGTTAATGGTCTTTGGACATATTCTGAGCAAATTCGCTATCGACAAACAAATAGCTAATTTCTTGGTCAATGTATATATTATTGCAAACACAGTTACATTATATACAACACATTTAGTTTTCGCATTTTCGTAAAGGAATATTATTTATATTCCGTTCTTTTGTTCAACACGAATATTCAAAACTTCAATTTCGTAGCAAATATTATACCTATAAGTAATTTTATTTTTATTTTCTATGTGCATTAGTAACACTGTTGTTCGGTGAACAATCGCAGGGTATTCGGTTAGGTAAATATTAAATAATTTAAGGTAGGTAGGTACAGCGCAATTTCTAAATCTATAACTTTCATACTAATATTATAAAGGGGTAAAAGTAAGTTTGTATGTAGGGAGTAATCTTTGGAACCGCTGGTCGGATTGCCAATATTCATTCACTGATAGATAGCTACAATGTTCCGGATAGGCTATAAAACATAAAACATCACGCTACGATCAAATGATACCGCGCGAGAGTAGCTAGTAACTCTTAAATATCAAATCTGTGAATTTTTATTGTCTACTCAAAGGTCTTTTCTCTTGTGGGGGATGTTATCAAGTGAAAATGTGGGGCAAGAAAGAGTGTCAAACTTAATGACTAAAATCCACCCCCTTCCTTGTTTTGTTCCGGCACGGTACCGCGGCACATTATTGCTTGGACCCATAACCATAGCAGAACAACAGCCTTATTGGGCCCCATCTTTGCTGGTTTGATGGCTCTTTGAGTACGCTTGGTATTGTCTAGTGACTGTTGTCAAATGAACAATAGATAGAACCAATATAAATTATCTCTTTTTTCTTAATATTAATAACATAATATTAATTAAAAGGTAATTCTTCAGATCACTATAATTATGTAGACTATACGAGATATAAGCAACAATGCTTAAAACGGCAGTGACAACCATGCCATTCTACGACAGAACAGGGCTTCGAGTCTGCTAATACAATAGTGTCAGAATAGTAGATCATTGGTTTCAAAATTGTTGATTTTGACAAATTAAGTAATCTACTAACACGATAGCGTCATTATGACTTTCCAATGCCATTTCATTGAAATAATTCTTTAGAACGTTAATCTCGTACATAATGAATGACAAATGAATATTTGACTTAATGCGGTAAATTATTAAAAAAATGTCAGTTCCTTTAATCAATGTTTTACGTTTAGAATATAATTGTGCAGTTATTGTTTATATTTCGTTACAAGACATCTCGTACTATAATTCTATTACGACATCGCCGAACGCCAATGACAAGCGATGTTGAATTAACAGATTACATATTTTAGCAGAATGACAATGGAATGTTGTAGGAATGACAACACTTTTAAAATAGTAGACTCGAGCCCCTGGACGGACTAAAACTCATGCAAAATCACAAAATGTTCTATTATTTTCCCACTATAGTCCATCAAACACTTTACAATGCAAGTGCAATCATATTGACAATCAGTAATCGGAAGTACAGAATTAAACTCTAATCTAAAAAAACGGACGATGAAGATTATATTCGTGAGATTACATCATCGCGATAAACAGATTATTAAGGACCATTCAAAGTCGAAAAGTACGGTACAAAGTACATGTCATCAAACCGCTGATCAAATCTAAGACTGCAGATCCAAGGTCATTGATAGACTAAGAAAATCTTTCTTTGTTATCCAGTTTTTTATTACCAAGATTTATGCTGATGGATGTTCGCCTAGAACAAGAAGCAAAAATATATTATGATACTCAGTGTTATTAAGTTATTACTTATCAAAACTTATAGGTTACTAGCTGCTCTCCCGCGGTTTCACCCGCTGCTCAGCTCCACTTGATCGTAGCGTGATGTTTTATAGCCTATAGCACTCAGGAACATTGTAGCTATCTATCAGTGAAAGAATTTTTGCAATCCGACCAGCGGTTCCAAAGATTACCCCCTACATACAAACTTACAAATTTTACCTCTTTATAATATTGGTATAGCTTCTTGCATGACGATAGGCTGAACAATTATTTTAAAATAGGCATTTTATTGGATTTATTTACTTAGTCTATGTTGCTGTAAATCAGATCAGTCAAACTAATATCTGTCTGGGTAATAATCTTAATTTCTTATTTAATTCACAAAATAACCAGTCGTCGATCGTCCACCAGACAGATCCCTATGTGAGAGTATTATTTGAGAGTTTATAACTGTAGCGTGGCGTGTCATGTCGCGCCAGAAGCCTTTTTTCTGGGGTGGAATAACACTGGTCAACAAAATTTCAACTTTATCGTCCCACATGGACTTTTTTGATATTTTTTACTTTAATTGGTGATTGTAATAAAAAATAAACAGTTAAAAAAATTTGCTAGACAAAGATTTTATTCTATTGAGTAATTTAAAATATTAAGAAAAAATACGGATCTCGTAAATCAAAAGTTTATTTTTTTATAAATGATTTAGAAAATCTAAGATTTTCTTGAATATTTAGCTTATGGTTGGTCCCTTTTAATTGTCCAGCAGTAATCTGCTAACATATTTGGGCTCCATTTGATGATTTCCTCTCCTATGATGATTATAATCATCGACGGAAGAGGAGGAAGTGTCAGACTGTTACCGACTAAAAACCATTACGTTCCTTCTCTGTACCTTATGGTGTTTGCCCCGCAGCGTCAGAAGCCTTTCATCCTTCCTCTATGGTAAGTGACAAACTGTGTCGAGTCGTGTCGTGTCGTGTGCTGTCAAATGTATGAAACTGATACCCGGTTTTCGAAAGGCCGATCAATGTTAAAATCAATTTAATCTCTTTTCAAGTCACCTGATTGGTTGACTGAATTATCAACAACCAATCAGATGACTTGACAAAAGATTTGACTCCTAGTTAGTTGATTTTAACATTGATCGGGCTTTCGGAAACCGGGCATGAGACGTGTTGTCGCGACCAGTCACGCTATACAAGTGTGTCTCTAACCTTAACCAATTGTTATTGAAACAAATGCTTGACATTTAACTTTATGTACAACGTAAGTATTTACGTTGCTTATTTATTGTGTAACTTACAATTAATCTATTGAATCACCTAACTGAAAGAACAAATTCAGTATTTATTGAATTAGCCCAGCTTAAGACGTGTTATAACAAAAAAATATTTTTCTAGCCCTTCCTTCTCCTGCTATGAGCTGAGCCAAAGTAACATTATAGCTTACTAGCTACTCTCGCGCGGTCTCACCCGCTGCTCGGCTCCCTTAGATCGTAGCATGATGTTTTAGAGTCTATAGGACTCACGAACTTTGTAGCTATCCATCAGTGAAAGAATTTTAGCAATTCGACCAGCAGTTCCAAAGATTACCCCTTAAATACAAACTTACAAACATACAAACTTACGAATTTTACCCCTCTATAATATTAGTATAGATGGTTTCTTTACCCGCTACCCCAAACCTTTTTCATGGTCTCCAAGCTATTATTCCAAATGACCTCTTTTCACAAGATACTTTACAATTAGAATTTTAATAACTAGACCACCGAAGCAATCAATAAAGTCAACCACTAATGGCAATAATACATTACAGGTAAGGTAGCGCCATCAAGCGGAATACGATGCAACTTCCTCAATACATTTGTTTTGCAAGCACGATTTCTCTACCCAGAATCAAGGTCCAAAGTATACTACTAGGTACGAATCTTTTTTTCGGGGTAAATCATAACAGATAATATAATATACTAATAACTTCTCGTTTGATTAATAAAAAAAACTATTAACGACTAGCTTCTGCCGGCGGCTTCGCCCGCTTTTGGTATGTTGATAAAAAGTAGCCAATGTCCTATTCCGGAGTGTATCCCTGCCAAAATTCATAAAGATCCGTCCAGCCGTTTTTGTCGTGATTGAGTAACAAACGATACGGCGAATATAACGATTTATATATTCATAACCTAGTTTCTGGATGGCCGGTCACCGTACTAAAAACACGAATACTATAAACTAGAACTAGAACTTCATGTTATAAAACAACATAACACATAAAAGAAACCATAATTTTTATGGTAAATGGTGAACTAAATAAATGGTTCTTTTTTTATTATTCATATTTTATTTACACCTGTTTTACATTGATTGGTTGTTCTACGTAGGTGCCTATGTTACAGTTTCGGTCGATCATGTGTTTTCGCATCATATCACATAATCGGCCTTCAAGTTCCTACTGATGAATAAAGGCATCTTCTCACACGAAGAAGGTTTGAGCATTAATTACCACGCTTGTTCAAGGAGGATCGGCGATTTCAAACTTACGATTAGAAATTACAAGTCCAGGCTTTCTCATGATGTTTTCCATCTCAGTATGTGGTGTCTAAATGATCATAGAAAGTACATACTTAAAGAGACCTAACTCAAAAGATAAAGTATTTGAATCTTAAAAATTATGCTTCATTAATAGGGTTCAATTTTGGAATATCCTCATTTTTGAGTTAGGCCTTTTTTCTATTTAACACGCGATTATGTAATTCGGAAAAAGGGGCATTGGTACTTGCCAGATTTCAAACACCCTCGTGTGTGAGAAGCGGGCGCCTTAACCTCCGCGCCTTTACGACGTTAAATGTTAAAGATCATGTGATACATAATATGACAGTTAAATATCAATTCAATAACGGGTTACGCAATAATAATTGAAATTAAAATTACCTTCATTTGTTAACAAATAGTATTGATTTAAATATTTAATTACCTTATGTCATTGCGGTGAACTGTACATACTTATATAAGTACCGTTCTTTTGTTACAAGTTCGTATATTGAATTCGAATTAAATATTGATGACCAATTCAAGGTAACAGTGATACCTTCTGCCTGTCTTTATATTACACCTAGCTTCCGTCCCCAGCTTCGCCCGCGTGGTATGTTGATATTAAGCCTATTTGTCTATACATACCAAATTTCAGCCCAATATGTATAAAAGAATTACAAACATACATCCATAATTCCTTCTCACAAACTTATCTACTATTATAAAGAGACTATCACAAACTTGTCTACTATATACTAATATTATAAAGAGGTAAAATTTGTTTGTTTGTATGTTTGTATGTTGGTAAGTTTGTATGTAGGGGTAATCTTTGGATAGATAGCTACAATATTTCTGTGTGCTATACGCTATAAAACATCACGCTGCGGTCAAAATAATGGAGCCGAGCAGCGGGTAAAACCGCGCGCCAGTAGCTACTACATTTATAGGAATAATATAAGTAGGATTTGTATTTTACACAATGTCAGGAGAAATCATCAAATTTCTTTTCCTGCCCTGGGTGGGGCTTGAGGGAGTGTGACTCTTACTGACTAGAAACCATCCGGTTCCCCTTCCCCTGCTCCAAGCTGAGACCATGGTACATCATTGCGCTTTACCCATTATCGCAACCACGGCTGATGTGCTTATAACCAGTCATTGCTTTTTCAAGAAAAAAATATTTCCAAATACCTCAACCGCTCGGTTATTTTTTAAGACTAGGGTGATAATGGATGTATTGTAAACTCTGAAGTATTCCTATCGTTTTCGAGTAATAATAAAACAGGCAAAGAAAAATTTACTATCTAAAAAATAAACAAAATTTGTCAAAAAAGAACGATCTGCTATTGGTTATAAAGTATGACATACAAATACGTTTATTTTCAGAATTAATTATATATTCAACTATATATGCTGATTGCCACCTCGTTTTAAGTAAATAATGTTCGTAGACCATGCGAATCAAAATCCACAATAATGAAACTTATTAGTAAAAAACGCGTTGAATTATTTTGTTAAACACATTACACTTAAATTTCGCGCCGATTTTGTTTACACATCGATCCCACGAGATGGCAGCAGATATAGTGAAGAATAGTGACATCTACATTATGAACTCCAAACTAAATAAGAGGAAGATAATGATTTGGCTTCATTTGACAGTGAAAAGTGGTAAATAAACATAGACTGAGAATAACTTGATATTTCAACAAAAAGCTGATAAAAACTTACTATAAATAGCTGCAGATGACACTTGCAGTGGTATAAAATTAAAATAGAGTCAACAAACTGACTTTTTACGCAATCACTATTGTTTCGTGTTAGTTTTTTCCGATATTTTTTCTATTTCACAAAGCACGTTCACCCACCGCCACTGCCGTTTCCACACTAACACATACACAAACAAATAACTTATTAGCACGGTACTATGTACCTTCCTATTTACATTTGTACATAGATAATTGGGGTAAGGAGAAGTATCTTTTACCTAATAGCTAGACTGACTGACTGACTAACATACATTTCAATTTAGTCTTAAAGCTACATACATTTATGTTCATGTTTATGTATATGTATGACAATATTATTATAGGCGCCTCCTGAGTTTTGTTAGGTAATTGGTTATATAAAACATTATGTTAGCAGTATATAAACCCAGCCGGGGTTGCGGGGTAAGCGCAGTAAGTTACCGCGACCTCAGCCTAGAGCAGAAGAAGGAACGGGGGTGTTTTTATTCAGTAAGGTTCTGACACCCCATCTCGGCTCACCCGGGCGGTAGATGCCATTTAATAATTGTGCCCTCAGAAAAAAATATCTCTTCTTTGTGGGTGGGACAAAATTATACGCCATTTTCCCAGGCGAGAGTGAGTACCAGACTCTTTCTGATAAAACCCCCACTATTTACTTATGTATATTTCACTCCTACTTATTAAATGCTACATCGGGTTTGTGGGCTATAAAAATAACGGTCCGGTTTGAAACAGGAGATAGAAAGCTATCTCCTAAATAAATAGTGTTTGTGAAAATCATTGAAAAAAAAGTAATCTTGCTCGTTCTTCTCCATCGGATCGGAACCTTCAATTTGAAACGAGCAAATAACTTCACTAGGAGTACCTACTGACCGATAAACTGACACTTTTTATCTTCAAGCTTTGTTTGACGTTCAAAAGTTCCTGTAAGGGTCCCCCTAAAATAAATGATTAGTGTAGCGGCACTATCACGTCGCTACATTACTTAGATACGATAGAGATAAGACATACATGTTAATTGTTGCACGTTTGTTAGGATAGCTAAATCTGAAAATCTCACGCATCTTCTTAGTATATAAGCACCAGCAATTAAAGTAATAAACAGACCTTAACCATCTACAGTCTCATTATTTACCTTGCCACGAAGTCTGGCAAATTGGTGACCCGACGAAGAACAATCAACATGACTCATTCACCCTGCAAATCAAGCAGCAGCCAACAAGAAGCCTTGGAGATATCAGCCGGAACCGCCATTTTATCCCGTATTCCGGAATTTTGGAGGGACCAACCCAGATTATGGTTTAAGCAACTAGAAGCCATAGTAGCACCACAGAAGCAAGGAGACGATTACAAGTACTATACGGTCATTGCAAAACTGCCAAAAGAAGAAATAATACAGGTTAGTGACCTCATTACTTGCCCACCGCCAATAGAAAAGTACAAGGCTATCAAAGAACGCCTAATCAGTTGCTATGAGGAATCAGACCAACGTCAGCTCCAAAAATTATTGTCTGAAATGGATCTCGGCGACCAGAAACCATCACATCTTCTGCGCAAGATGCGGACCCTGAGTAACGGAAATATCAGCGACGAAACCATCAAACTTCTATGGTTGAGGCTTCTGCCACCATCAGTGACTTCGGTTCTAGCAGTCACAGAAGACATAGATGTGAACAAGATGAGCCAGATCGCGGACAAGATATTAATAAATTCAACACGTACAGAGGTGTCAGCTGTAAACGGAAACAAATCTGGCGACGATTCAATGTCATGCATACTAGCACAGTTAGCAGAAATGCAATTGGAACTAAATGCAATTCAGCAAGGTCAAAAAAACTATCGACGCAGCACTCAAAGTTATTCCAATCGTCGGCATTTCCTACCACAGTCAAGTTCAAGAGAAACAAGGCACTTTTGTTTTTACCATGGAAGATTTAAAAAATATGCACAAAAGTGTGTGAAACAGGGAAACTAATTGAAGCACGGACAACGGCGGAACTCTGTGCTATTCACCCGTCCAACCGCCTCACTATTACCGACCGAAAAAGTGGTATGAGATTTTTGATTGACACGGGAGCAAATATTTCAGTTATTAGCAAGCCACAGAGACATTCACTAATACAAGATGAACAATGTATACTTTATGCCGCCAATGGTACAAAAATTAAGACATATGGTGAAAAAACACTCTCTTTAAACTTCGGGCTACGAAGAAACTTTGTATGGAACTTTGTCATCGCCGATGTAACACAACCGATTATTGGAGCAGATTTTTTTAGAGCATTATAAGCTATTAGTCGATATAGCTGGTCGAAAACTCATAGATAGGGTAACTGAGCTGACAACGCCCGCAACCCTGATCAAATCGACGCAGCAAACAATCCGCACTATTAACATTGAGACGAATCCACGCATTACTCAACTATTAAATGAATACGAGGATATTACGAAACCAGCCTCCCTCCACACTACTCCAAAACACAAGATTAAGCATCATATTATCACTAAAGGACCACCGGTATCAGCACGTGCAAGACCATTACCTCCTGATAAATATCATATAGCAAAGAAAGAATTTCAGACTATGATGGAGCTTGGCATTTGTCGCCCTTCGGACAGCCCATGGGCTAGTCCTTTGCACATGGTTAAGAAAAAGAACGGTGAATGGAGACCATGTGGAGATTATAGAATGCTCAATAGCGTGACTGTACCGGACAAATATCCACTTCCACGACTAACTGATTTCACTTACATACTAGAAGGGAAGCAAATCTTTTCCAAAATTGATATTCGAAAGGCGTACCACTGCATTCCTGTAGAAAATGTGGAAAAAACTGCTATTATCACTCCTTTTGGACTTTTCGAATTTCCAAAAATGCCTTTCGGTTTACGTAATGCGGCGCAAACATTCCAACGATTCATGGACTCGCTATTCAGGGATTTGGATTTCGTATTCATATTCGTCGACGATTGTCTTATAGCATCTGAAAACGAGGCTCTACATTATCTTTTACAGAAACAATCTCCCTCATGCCGCTGAATATCAAACTATCTTAAACAACTACCTGCACGACTCTAAAAAGAATGATAATTCTCCAATTTCTTGGACAACAGAGGCCGAAAAAGCTTTTGATAAATGCAAGGAAAATATAATGAACGCAGTATTAACAGTTCACCCCTCTCGCACCGCCCCTTTGGCACTTATGACGGACGCCAGTTCGACCTGTGTTGGCGCAGTTCTGCAGCAGAAGTCAGGACGTAATTGGGAACCATTAGGATTCTTTTCAAAGAAATTAAGTGATACTCAACAAAAATACTCGACATTCGACAGAGAGTTGCTCGGAATATATATGGCAGTCAAACATTTTCAAAGGTTAGTCGAAGGAAGAGAATTTACTATCTTTACAGATCATCGACCTTTGACTTACGCATTTTCCCAAAAACCGTCATCTAATGATACGCCACGGCGAATACGACAACTGGATTTTATTTCACAATATTGTACCAACATTCAACATATAGAAGGACGTGACAATATTGTAGCAGACGCATTGTCACGGATAGAACAAATTGATGTGCCATCACCGATTAATTATGCTGATTTAGCAAGATGTCAGCATGATGACCAAGAATTATTACGACTTCGTAATAACAAGAATTTAAAATTTTCAAATATCAAGGTTCCGGGTTCTACTGAAGTCATCGCCTGTGACATATCTACAGAAAAAAATCGCCCCTATTTACCAGAAAAATTTCGGAGACAAATTTTTAATGTCATGCATGGACTGAGTCATCCTGGAAGAGCTACGGTGGACGAGAAACATTGCAATTGGACAAATCCTCATCACAATTGGCATCCTTCTTCTCTACGGAATACTGAAGACCTTAGACAGAAGAGTGAAAACAATAGCAAGAAACAATCAGCACAAATGCAGTGGATAGTTCATCGACTGCCGCCGCCGTCACAACAAAGGCAGCAGTTTTTATTTCCTTCGAATTAGCAACAATGACATTACATTACGCATAGGATGTAATTTATCAGCAAGGTTAAGTTATTATATAATTAGGTACATACTAATTTTTTTCAATTTATATGTTAATTATTTTTAAAAGGGGGGAGTATATGTAGCGGCACTATCACGTCGCTACATTACTTAGATACGATAGAGATAAGACATACATGTTAATTGTTGCACGTTTGTTAGGATAGCTAAATCTGAAAATCTCACGCATCTTCTTAGTATATAAGCACCAGCAATTAAAGTAATAAACAGACCTTAACCATCTACAGTCTCATTATTTACCTTGCCACGAAGTCTGGCAAAATTAGCATTTACTCCTATCATGTGTCGTGGGTGATCAAATCACACCCAGACCCGGAACAAAAATTAGTAAATCACACAGAGTTGTTCCGAGCGGGACTCAAACCTGCAACACTTTGCGTGGTAGCCCAGCCACCGTGCCAATGTGTGAATGCAAAATTATATAATTCTATCATAAAGCTGAGGAGTTTGTTTGTTAACGCGTTAATTTACGAAACTACTTGTTCGAATTAAAATTATCATATTCATATTGTATTGGATAATCCATTATCGAAGCAGCTATGCATATGTATATAGGCAGCTATAAATCATTACGGTGCGATCAATAGCAGCGAATGAAACCGCGTGGGAGTAGCTAGTTATTAGATTATTAAATTGGCATCTCCTTACCTCGAACCGGGATGATAAGATTAGATAACTGACGAGTTTAGAACTTGGACAAAACGGTATTTATATATTTATGTTGAGTCTTAAACTATATAATGTGACACATCTATGACGATTATATGCTGTTTCACAATAGAGGCTACCGTTTTTGTTTCACCACCTGGCAATAGTGTAATCCTCTTGTCCTTACACCTAATTGGGAATTAGCTAGAGCTCAAAACATTTCAATTTTGGCAGATAAATTGGTTGAACTAACAGACCTTTTTTAGATTAGCGCCATCTGTTGAGCAAATTTCGGAACACATAGAAAGTAAGTAATCTTAGTAGTTATCGAAGGTAAGATCTCAGCGCACGGGCAAAGTCAGCTGTGCTGGAGGAGAAGTCATTTGATGATTTACCCCTCATAAATAAAAAAACGTTACTTTTACAATACCTATATAAAATCAAAATCATCTCATTAAAGTTTTTCCTTGCATAAGTAATGTTAAATCTATTATATGGACGAGCGTATTGTAAAAGTTTAAATGGTCGATTAAGTGACATAGAGTTCAATGTATTATAATTTATGTTGATATCAGGGAGGCTCGAAATCAACACATACATAATTGTGACGTGTCGTGGTGTGTGCTCTCAAATGTGTGAAACCGGAGCGTGTGGTTGCGACATGATCTGCCGCGCTACATAAGTTTTTCTTGGGGGAGGAAAATAATGAAATGACTTCTCTTTCTTCTCTCTCTCTTCGCCCAGTGGGATGGGAGGTAGATGAGAAATATCAAGCCAACCCCTACATACATGGGCCTACATAAGGTTCAGTTTAATGTATTGGATTTTTCTCCTATAATACATGTGGCATGTAATATACTTATATGTGGATGTGGTTATATCCTCTTTGAGTAAAATAGAACAGCAAATATACAATAACGTAGTGAAATAATGTAACTATTTTCCATCGAAGGTATAAATGATAAAACAATGATTAAGAACTAGCTTCGCTAGCGCTAGCGTAACCTACGTCCTATTCCGAAGTGTATCCTATGCCTGTGCCGAATTTCATCCAGATCCTTTCAGCCGTTTTGGCGTGATTGAGTAACAAATACCCAAACATTTCGCATCTATAATATTACTAGCTTTTGCCCGCGACTTTTTTCACGTGGAAAAGTGACTTCCTGCAGATTTTTGATAAAGACTATCCTATGTCCTTTCTCGAATTCCAAACTATGTCTGTGCCAAATTTCACAAATATAGGTTCAGTAGTTTAAGCGTGAAGAAAAGACAGACAGACAGAGTTACCTTTGCATTTATAATATAAGTTTGGATATACTTAGATTATTGATGTTTTAATAAAGAGAAAAGGTGGAGTTAGTAACGAAAAACAAAATCATACAAAAATAAATTTTATTAAAAATTAACATGAAATAAATGACACATAAAACCCATCACAGATAGTTTTAAAATCAATTCAAACATAAACAATATATGTAAAATAAAATATAATATACTCTAAGTAACAATCACAAGGTTGATTTTTGTACGGTTTATCACAGTTTCCCCTGCATGAAGGGCTTGAGGTACTTGTGGAAGCTCTGGTTGACTGGCTCCGCGTTCAGAGGACTCTTCAGCGCTTCCTCCATCAGGCGCTCGTACACGCGACCGTCGTATGCGCCCAGCGATGACTGAAGTAACTGTAACATGAACAGATATGAATAAAATACTATGATTTCTATTAAATGGGTATAATTTTATCTTAAACTTTCTTTCTCTCTATCTATCTAAGAATACCATATCATTCACACTGTTCTTTGGCATGACGATAACAATATATGGACCCTCGTGTGGCTTGAAAAGTTTCGAGTTGACTCGTCAAACAGTTGTGTAAGCAAACAATATAATCAAAAGCTTTAGATGCTTATTGTCAGAATGTTGCACGAAAAGGATTGTTAAAAATATGTTGATTAATAAGCTTACCTCGTCAATAATATCAAAAGCATCTACAAGTCCAACTGCGTTAGGTCGAATTTTCAACAACAGCTCTTCGTACCTAGACCTTAGTTTCACGACATCAGCGCCCGAAATCGATGTGAACTGCAATGAAAAATGTTGTTTTGGATGTTTAAGGCTTCAGTCGCAATACAACAGAACCGCTGTAGTGGCCACCCAGAGCGCGGGTCTAGGGACGGCAAGTAAGGGTAGCTCGCCGCCCGACCAGAACCAGACCCGAGCGTACGGCGCGTAGCGTTTCTCGCGCGCCTCAAGGACCCAATGGACCACCACAGACGGGGCCCTAGAAGGCTGATGTTCAGCCGGGGTTGCGGCTTAAGCGCAATGAGTCACCGTGGCCTCGGCCCAGAGCAGGAGAAGGAACGGGAGGGTTTTTAGTCAGTAAGAGTCTGACACTCTCTTTCGCCTTACGAGTACCTTGGGCGGGAGACGTCATTTGATGATTTTGTCCGCACAATAAAAATAGCAGAACTGTCGGGTTAATTAGCCACGTAACATTTTCATTATCTTACAATTTGTCGCTGGACTAAAATGGTTATTTTGTTTTACAAAATTACATACAATATTATGAGAATTGAAAAAGAAATCAAAAAGCGTAAATATGCATCTCTGTGCAACTGCGTCAATGTATTTTGACATTGAATGAGATGAATATTGTAAGTATTTAATTATCTTCCACACAGTAATCTTATATATAAAAGTGGATCGCAAAATGTGTTGGTAAGCGCATAACTCAACAATGCCTGGACCAATTTTGCTAATTCTTCGTTGTGTTTGCTATTGAAAGGAGAAGGTTCGCTTTTTCCTAATCTTCCCGTCTACTTTTCTAATATTTTCTTTGACCTTATCAAAGAAAATATTAGAAAAGTAGAGGGGAGAGTAGGAAAAAGCGACCCTTTGATAGCGAGATAGTTGGACCCGTGCGAAGCGGGGGCGGGCCGCTAGTTTCTAAATAAATGTATTTAAAAAAATCGACGATTTTTGGACTGCAAAAGTTACAATTTTTAAAAGCGTGGGGAGCCAAGCTTCACCAATCACCATGAATGGATCCGCTCGAGCGGAGTGATACCACGGCTTCACAGAAAACCATCGTGAAATAACCACAGCGTTGTATTTCGCCGTGTGAGTGAAGTTACCGGGCGTCCAATCCTTCTAATTAACAAAAGTCGGGCAACGCACTCGTACTCCTCTAGTATAACGATTGTCTATGGGCGCCGAATGCTTGCCACCTTTCTGACATAACACAAAAATAAACTTTGAGTAGCTTCTTAGCTACCTAATACTTACTTTTAAACTTTCGCGTTTCATGTTTACAACTTATAATTACGCGGGTATTACATTAACGCGAAAAGTACGTCAAGGCTTCAAAGGTATTTAAATAATAAAAGTACCGTAATTATATCTTCCCAGCATGTTCTAAGGTTCCAAAAACTCAGTTCAAGAACAGTCACTGACCTCTAAAAGATCACCGAGCCTCTCCAGCGCCCAGTACACCGCGTACAGCTCCACCAGTTGACCCATCACCTCCGCCAGCGGTTCTGACATACTCCTCATTGCTTTGGACATGTCCTCGTGGAACGTGGAGATGACTATCGCGCGACAATGTGACTGGAAATGGAAAAACATTATATTAAAAATACACATCCTTCATCAGCCACATCCTTATAGAAAACCTGCTTTTTTTTCTTTTTTTTTAAAAACGTTGCCCTGCACTAAGATTTTCTCCTGTGTTGTGGGTGCGGTTACAAACATACAATTTCACATGACACCCAGACCCGGTAAAACCATTTGTGGATCACACAAGGAGTGGTTCCGTGCGGAAATCGAACCCGCGACACGTTGCACGGCAGCCAGTTGCCCAGCCACCGAACCAACCGTGCAGTCATTTTTCTTTCCTTCCTCAATCCATAAGTCCCCAAAACCCTAATCCCCAAAAGGTCGGCAACGCATTCCTAACTTCTCCGTTGTTGCAGATTTCCGTTAGCGTCGCTGATTCCTTACCATCGGGTAATACGTCACCTAATTTGCCAATCTATCAAAATAAAAAATAACATAAAACGGACTCGACCGAATTTTTACCGCCTTAATATAAACCAGCGTGTAACAATTCTTACGTTGTGTTTCACCGTGTGATTGAGGTTAGCGGAGGCCCAATCCTTTTTCCCCTTCCCCAATCATGCCCAAGGACGGGGAGGACCATCGGAGGTGGAAGGATTGCTCGTTTACCGCCTTAAAGAAGCGACTTTCTACGTGACAGTAATTTCCGTCGGTTATTATAAAATATAAATAGTCACCTCTCCAGCTGAAACTAATTGTATAGATATTATATTCCACGCATCTTCTTGCGACATTCCTGACATTATTTTGGTCGTCATTAAATCCACGCACGACGATATTTTCCTGTAACGAAACAAAAACAAAATATTACAAAAAAGAAAACAGATTCAAGACTCACATTAAAATTACGAACTTTCATGAACTTACTTCATTGAGACTATTTGGAATCCTCTAATGATCCCTTCGACAGAATTCTCCCATTTGTACGAGAACCCTGGACCGGATACAGTCTTCAAGTATTGCACTGTGGGAGTTAACGGAGCGGTGTCAATCTGTCGCCACGTCTTCAGTAGGAACCTGTGGAAAAGAGACTCGTTGAAGCCATTGCCAGGCTTTCTTTGAGTAATTCTACAATTAGATTAGCAGACTCAAAAAACGTACATAATTTTTATTCTTAAGAGTATTTGCAACATTTTTTTTTTTTAAAGACTTACTCATGTAACTATTTGAGAAGAAACTCGTCAAGTTTTAAGCCGGCCGCGCTAGGAGCGCATATTTATGACCAGCATTTTACCACGAAAACACAAGACCATTTCGTAATATCGTGTCTGCTCCAACGAGAAATTAAACAAAGCAACTGTTAAGAAATCCGTGTTGTGACACCTAAGTACATTAGTTTTATTAGTACGTTTCAATATAGATTCTTAACCCTTAAGGAGGTAGACAGAATTCTTGACTATAACCAGTTTATGGGGGGATGTATCTTCGACAACCCTTTCTCGAGTTATTTATTAACCTATCTAGTTATTTTTTTCTAGTATCTGTTCTACTTAACTTTGTGTCGAATTTCAAATCCCCCCCCCTTTTAATGCGCTAAATTAATTTGTCAATACTAAGAATATGTCTTGAGCTATACACGCCATGATGTCAAACTTTTAATAAGCCTTCAATTTATCTAATTTCTTTATTTTTTATTTTTTTCCAACAAACCTCGCAGTCTGCAGTAGCAATACAGTGTTATCGCCCTCGTAAGTGCAGGAGGCGGTTGTGAGGGCGTACGTAGGAGGGAGATTGGAGGACACCATGTAGCCGTGCCCTCCGCACGCCAGTCTGCATCGCTCCGTGAACATTGAGGAGTCTGTTGTACTGATGGCTTTGAGACAGCAGGCTAAAGCGTGCAACTGGTGAAAACACAAAAGAGTACATTTTAAAATAGGATTGAGTAGACTGAATACCCATTTGGTCTGACTAGCTTCCGTCGGAGGGATGCGACGAATGCTTCGGCGATACCCGCCCCTCCGACACGACACATGGGTAATTGGAAGAACACCGGGTTGGTTTATTTTCAGTAAGAGTCTGACACTACTCTTCGCCCTTCCCCGAGGGCGGTGGGTCTCCATGAGGATTTTCCAACCTGATACAAAAAAAAATGGACTAGCTAGTTTTCTCCAGCAACCAACTTCTTACCTCTCCAAGTCTCTCGAAATTCCCTTTGTGCAGCTGATCATTGATGACATTGAAAGTGTCCCATAACATCCTCGCGTTCATCTTCATAGCGAAGCAGCCAGCTATAGCTGTTAGTATCTTGTCTTGTTGCGTCACGTAGTCCAGGATTTGCCGCTCCGGTTCCCTGAATAAAATAAGTGGTTGAATAAGTTGGACATCTTTTAATAACTGAGTCATAGTGATATCGGTAAGGAGGTTTACCAATTTTGTGGTTAATAATCTTTTGTCTATCGTCGTATGATTTACAGTTCCTAAATGTAACTGCCAACCATCGGGTATCGTGCGTGATCCATTGGCATTTGATTCATCCCGAGTTAGGAAGACACAAATGCCAATATTTTTCAATCAACATTACATGCGGTGTGAAACAACCATACCGTTGTGTTTGAGTGAGGTTACCGGAGGATACCTAATCCATCCCAAATCCCAAAAGGCCGGCAACGCATTTCTAACTCCTCCGTCGTTGCGGGTGTTCAAGAGCGGCGCTAATTGCTTACCATCAGGTAATCCGTCTGCTCGTTTGCCGTCCGATCACATAAAAGAACTAACATGCAATGCCTATGTATTGGATAATGAAGAAACACTATTCAATCACTCACCCGTCCTTGAGCTGCGACTGTCTTCTGACTGCAGAGTACCGAGTAGCAACAGTGATGGCCTTTGCCAAGTAATTCACTGAATCAAACACTATAACCACTCTCACGAACACCATGGCTCCGTAAATCAACTTGCTGTTCTTAGACTTCACGTAGGTTCCATCCTGAAATGAAAATTGTAAATTGAGAAATATCAGACGAGCCTTGTAGCTAAGAAGGCTCGTCTATTATTTCCTGTGACAACGTCTTCGATTTTCAAAGTGCTTTTGGAATAAGTCAATTAAGTCAATGAGTGTAGGAACAATGCACTTGATCAGTTGCCTGCCTATTATGCTTTACTTTTTGTAATATTCTGACTCATAGTAATCAACTACAGCCAGAATTACTTTAACGCAACTAGGACTTAGGGTGCAGTTCCATTGAGGCGGAGCGGAGCAGAACGGAGAAGAGCTGTACCGTGATTCACCAATCACATGGCTTGAAATCCACATTTGAGATAGATCCACATTAGAGATGTGGATTTCAAGCCATGTGATTGGTATATCGCGGCACAGCTCTTTTCAGCTCCGCCTCAATGGAACTGCACACATATGGCGTGTAATTTTTCGTTGCTTAAAAGAGGTAAGTACTCATATGTAGTGTATAGAAAATTTCTAATTCTATGCGCTACCTATTCATGGCTTGGCACCGACTTCAAACCTATGAATAGGTAGCACATAGAATTGATAGTGTTTTATTATTAATAATCAAAGTATTAGCTTCGCGTACGTAAGAGTGGTATTAAAATATCAATTTTATTTACTTATTTGACACTTTTTTGTTTTTGAAGTCGGTTTTTTTAAACGTAGTTTTTTTTATTTTTTACTTTTTAGTGTCTGTTACAAGTTCTTCTGTAAACTACAGTAACATTTTAAATATAAATTAACATATTGAATAGTATATATTTTTTAAGTAGCTACCTATGTGTAGGCCTACAAAAGAAGCCGCTCGATTAAAAAATATAGATCCCAAGAAATGAGCAAGTTCTCATCATCATCATTAGCCATTTTAATGTTCCCACTACTGAGACACAGGCCATCTCTCTAGGAAAGGGAACGTTCTTAACAATATAAATAAATTAAGTCCAAACACGAGGTAGTTACTGTATACCGTTGAGGAGTTTCCAAGACTGTCCTTCGTCTTCATCATCAGATCCCTAATGACAGTCACAATCCATCTAGGTGTAAAGATCTTATCAAAACGAATTAATTAAGCTCAAACACAAGGAAGCTGCTATGAATCGTTGAGGAGTTCTCTCGACTGTCTCTCAGTTCCACCCGGAATTCCCTCGACGGTCAATGGTCTCCATCATCAGGTAAACTGCAGACCTTCAGTTGTTATAATACATACAGGTACAAAGTTTTCATCAATATAAATGAATTAAGTTCAAACACGACGTAGTTACTGTATACCGTTCAGGAGTTCCCTGAGCTGTCCTTCGTTCTCATCATCAGACCCTTAATGACAGTTACCACTAAGCCTGCTGCAAAGTGCTCGCCAATACGAATCATTCAAGCCCAAACACAAGGCAACTACTCCCAATAGTCAAGGAGATCCCTCGACTGTCTTCCAGCTCCAACATCTGGTCGACTTCGACCTTCGTCAAGTTGTAGTGTTGTTAAAGGCCTACTTAAACATCATACAAAAAAACTACTCGCCCCTACAATTTTTGAAAGTTCCCCTCGGTTTCTCCAGGATTCCATCATCAGATCCTGACCTCATGACAATGGGACCAAATGGCAAGTATACCCAATCGAATAAAAAAAGAATTTTGCAAATCGGTCCAGGCGTCTTCGAGAAATCGGTGTACATACATAAAAAAAAAAAAAAAAATACGCGTCGAATGAGAACCTCCTCCTTTTTTGAAGTCGGTTAATAAAATACCTGGATAAAATACCTGAATAAAATACATGGACGACAGTAAAAAGTTAGTTATGCCTTTTATTTTTTTTGTTAGGGAAAAATCATCAAATGACTTCTCCCGCCCATGGTGAGGCGAGAGGGAGTGTCAGACTTACTGACTAAAATACTTCCCGTTCCTTCGCCTGCTTACGGACAAGGCCGCAGTGCCTAATATAAAAAATAAAAAAGTAATTCCTAACGTCACTATTTTACGCATACAAAGCCACGGGCTGAAGCCAGCTGTGGTAGGTGGAATCAAAAAGAAAAAACTTCCTGTGCGACGAGGTCAATTAATACTTATTTGATTTTTATATCACATAATTCAGTTTTATATCACGTAATTAAGCTTTTTTAGTTTATGCAAAATCCTTAGATATACGTATGTAAATACTCCAACGAAAAAGTAAAAAAAGTCTGATTATAATCGCCATATTCTCAAGATATGCTGATTCTTGGGCACGCTTTGCCATTTTTTTTTTTTTTTTGGTGTCGGGTTGGAAAATCCTCATGGAGACCCAACGCCCTCGGGGAAGGACGAAGGGTACTGTCAGACTCTTACTGACTAAAAACCAACCCGGTTTTCCTCCAATAACCCATGTGTCGGAGGGGCGGGTATCGCCGAAGCATTCGTCGCAACCCCCCGACGGGTGTTGGCCCGCCAGATGATAAGGCGGGCCCCGTCACCCACTGCGGCCGTCACCCCGACCGCAGGACTCCACTATGAGGCGCGCGCGGAACACGGCGCCGCCGCCTCGAGGCCTGCTGCTGGTCAGACGACAAGACGCCCCGAGTCTATCGTCCACAGGCCGCGCCCTACGGTGGCCGCAGGTCGGCCACCCTACGACGTCTAGTGCGTCTGCTGCGGGAGGGGAGAGAGGAGGCAGCCTCTCTCTCCCTTTCCGCCGCCTCCTTTGCGAGCATTCTCGCAGAAGGTAGCGACGATAATTAACTAGCGCGGTTTCACCCACTGCTTAGCTCTTACAAAAGCCTTTCTCAATAAATGGTCTATTAAACACAACAAGAATTTTTCAATTCGAACGTGTAGTACCTGAGATTAGCGCGTTCAAACAAAACAACCCTTCAACTTTATAATATTACTAGCTACTCTCGCGCCGTTTCACCAGCTGTTCGGCTCCTATAGATCGTAGCGTGATATTTTATAGCCTATAGCACTCAGGAACGATATAGCTATCTATCAAAAGTTCCAAATATTACCCCTTACATACAAACTTACAAATTTTACTCCTTTATAATATTAGTATAGAAGTATAGATTTATTACATAAAAATAATTGACTTCATCCAATGACTGTAACTTTATATATAAAAATGGATCGCAAAATGTGTTGTAAGCGCATAACTCAATAACGCCTGGACCAATTTGGCCAATTCTTTTTTTAAGATGTTCGTTGAAGTCCAAGGATGGTTCTTACGGCGAGAAAAAATCGAATAATTGCCGGGAAAACCCTAAAAACAGTCCTTTTCTTTTTCACATACAAACGTTTTCTAACTAAAACGTCGAATCAATTTGAGCTTTATTGCTGTTATGCATAAGGTTCATATTAAATAACAAACACTCACTGTCATCTAAGAAATAAGTGAAAGAAGAAAAGGTGTGTTCCTAACGTCAAAAAGTAAATTTGCACTTTCTTACCGCTAAACAAAGTTCAAATTCAATCATATCTATCAAAACAGTGTGCGCGTGTGCTTTGGAGCTGGAGCACAGAATTCGTCGTTTGAGAATTAATAAGTCGGGTTCCGAAAACAAAAAAAAAATCCGATTTGAATGATTCTTTCAGTGTTATGAAGTCCATTTGTCGAGGAAGGTATATTTCATTTAATTTAAAATTAGGGATCTGTAATAAAATTGCTATTTTGTAACACAAGGAGTAAAATCGAAAACCTATTTTTGCGTGCGCTGCAATAACTATTGACCATAGAACAAAATGATGTACTACGGGTTGTAGATTCTATTAAAACCTACAAAAAAAGTCCGCGAGAGCATATATCTAGCTATCATGGTTTAATCACAATACCCGATTTTGTGTTCAAAATAATTATTAAATCGTCTGAAGGAAAAAAAGCGTTAAATATGTATCGTAATATTATTCTTTATCGGAATTAAGCATTATGTTATCAAGAGTATTTATTTATAAGTATTTTAAAATACTTTTTTATTTCCTCTCAATCTCTCAATCGTTTAAAAGTTATCATGTGTGTAAGATGTTAAGAGTTGGTACCTTATTAATGAGTTATGGACCATAGAGTTTTTTATCAACATAAAATCCTGTAATAATATTTTTCGTAATATATTTGTTGATGATTGTAAGTATAAGATCTTTGAAGAGTATAAGAAATACATTTCTAAACTAACTCTGCTAAGGAAAGGGAAATCCAAGGAAAAACACACATCTTAATTTGGAAATGTCGTTGCGGAAGCCATACGATGTAAATGAATTAAATGAGTATATTACTGTAAATGCACCCAAGTTCTTTAATGAACAGGTAATGGCAAACAATAGTGTTATGCTCAGTGTTGTTTCAATGAGGGAAAAATATTTTTTGTATGCTCCAGGCGGAACCGGCAAAACTTTCATTAGCTACTAACATGATATTAGCAAAAGTAAGGTCTAAGGGAAAACTAGCTTTGGCAGTAGCGTCATTTGGAATCGCTGCTACTATATTTGCTGGCGTACGCACAGCTCATTACACTTTTAAACTAACATAACCTAACCGTTCCGTTACAGAAAGAGCGTGTGCTCTATTCGTAAAAATGGCCTTTTAGGCAAAGTTTTGTAAGATGTCACTTTAGTCACTTTAATCTGGGATGAATGTACCATGATTCATAGAGCTCATTTCAGGGATTTTCAACTTTACAAGTAGTAGTAAGAGGAATTAAAGTAGACATTGTAAAAAAATGCCTTAAACGTTGTCTATTATGGAAATTTGTTCATGCCTTAAAACTATCTACGGACATGACAGCATATTTGGGAGGAGGTAGTACAAATTTTCCTTTGAAGTTACTTTTAGTTGGAGACGGAAAAGTACCTTATTTTGAAAATAAAATACCTATTGATCAAGATTTAGGAGAAAAAAAGACTAGCATTGAGAGTTTAATATCAAAAGATATCGTCGAAATAGAAAATAAAGATTATCAATGGAAGTGTGCACAGTCGGTGCGGTGGCTGGGCAACTGGCTGCCGTGCAACGTGTCGCGGGTTCGATTCCCGCACGGAACAACACTTTGTGTGATCCACAAATTGTTGTTTCGGGTCTGGGTGTCATGTGTATGTGACATTGTATGTTTGTAAACGCACCCACAACACAGGAGAGAATCCTAAAGTGTGTACAGTAGAGTAAAGTCTAAACAGTAGTGTTGACAAAATTAACGATTTAATTTTAACTAAACTTCCAATGGATCAAGAATATGCAGTCCATTATCTACAGGGATGTTTTCATTCTTTAAACCCGAGGGGCATCCCATCACATTCTCTCAAGTTAAAAATTGGTGCCCCATTATTTTACTTAGAAATTTATGTAACGGGAGACTTTAGGTTAAATTTGTTCGCAATAACGTGATAGTTGCAATAATAGTTCTGACTGGTCTAGTGGTTGGTCAAACAGTATTTAAACCTCGGATCCTAATGATTCCAAATGATTTGCCTTTACATTTTAATCCAATTCAGAAAATAAAACAATAAATATTATTTACTCAGAAGTACTTTAAAATGATGTTTGAACCCGGTTTAAAGTGGACGGACACTCCCGCCTGTAGTCGTAATTCTTACTCTGGCTGAATTTCGAACAGATAAACAGCTATTGCTTACTTGACTTATACAGTTTAACTTAATCTATATTTTTCTTAACATTATACCTAAACATGAAAAGTTTGGTTGTTTGTTATGAAGGCGGTAATCTCGGGAAATGCTGATCTGATAATTATGAAAACTGTTTAAATATTCAATAGTCCATTTATTGAGGGAGGCTATAATATAGGCAATATTTTATCTCGGTATTTCCACGGATACGACAAAAACGCGGGTGAAACCGCGGGGCACAGCTAGTAGTTATATAATTATGTAATAAATGTCTCTACAATAAATGTTTAACTACAAAAAAATGTAAAGATTCGAAAATTTATCGAATTTGGATGCTATTTTTATTCTATTTTTAAGAGTTTCTCTAAAAATACAACAAAATATATATGTGTGTATAAATAATATACCTACCTATATACAACTATAATATGTATGTGAATTAATGAATAAATTTTCCCAAAATTAATGCAGGAATAGGAAACTCGGATCCTTCTTACTTTTTTATGGATAGACTGCTGTCTAAGTATATCAACGATCAGACATCTTCTATGACAGTAATCAATTGGTTCGCCCATTGACACCAGCAACACCAAGGGTTGGTGCGGTGGCTGGGCAACTGGCTGCCGTGCAACGTGTCGCGGGTCCCGCACGGAACAACTGTTTGTGTGATCCACAAATTGTTGCTCCGGGTCTGGGTGTCATGTGAAGATATTTTTTATCCCGAAAATCCCGGGGAGCGGGAACTTCTCAAACTTCCCGCGAGATCGGGAACTATGTAGACAAAACCAAAAATCTGCCGGAGAACACTATTACCACGCGAACAAAGTCGCGCGCAAAATCTAGTAACTGTATAATAAAGCAAAAAAATATTTACTTACTTCTAGAACTTTCGCATGTTTCATCAGCATATTAGTCCTTGGAATTCTGACATTGTCAAAACCTATGAAGCCGTTGTTGACAGCGTTGAGCCCCATCTTGACTCCGATCTCCCCAACCTTTATCCCTGGTAGTGGCATGTGGGTGTCCTCGTCTCTAACTTGGACGATGAAGGAGTGGATGCCGTGGCATTCTCCCTTGGAATACAGTTGGGCTATCACGATGCAGTAGTTCGCTGTGTTTCCCACTGATAAGAAATAACAAATTGACTAAAAATCATTTTCTAAAAAAAAAACTTTGCCCCAGACTAGAATTTTCTCCTATGTCGTAGGTGCATTTACAAACATACAATTCCACATGCACATCACACCCAGACCCGGAAAAATAATTTGTGGATCGAACACGTTGCGCGGCAGCCAGCTGCCCAGCCACCGCACCAACCGTGCAGTCAAAATCATTACATCATGCCAAGATTCTGCTTGGGACACGTTTTAAGAAGCTTCCTCTACCAGCGAAGAAGAAACCGACTATTTATCTACTTCACTAGTATCTATCAAGCTAGTTCTATTTCTTTATAAAGTAAACTCAAATCTACTGGTATCCTAACCTCTGAACATTGAATCTACTTACATCCTCCAGGCCACCATTTGTACGATGTCAACGTCGGACTGTGTAATACAAACTCCTGTGTGGCCGGGTCGTATGTGGCAGTCGTCTCCAGACCGCGAATGAAAGTTCCATGGCCAAGTTCAGTCTGCAAAAAATACACAGGAAGAAAATGTTACAACCAGCCCCAACTAAGTTCAATGTTACGCCATTTTTCTAGTTTAGCCATATAGCTACTTTGAAGGCAACTTTGATCATCAACAGCCTAATTTCGTCCACTGCTGGACATAGGCCTCTCCAATTGACTTGACTGCACGGTTAGTGCAGTGGCTGGGCAACTGGCTGCCGTACAACGTGTCGCGGGTTCGATTCCCGCACGGAACAACGCTTTGTGTGATCCACAAATTGTTGTTCCGGGTCTGGGTATCATGTGTATGTGATATTCTGTTTGTAACCGCACCCACGACACAAGAGAAAATCCTAATGTGGGGCAACGTTTTTTAAAAAAAGAAAAAACAAAAAAGAATTGCACGCCAATGAGCTCGATGTTCAGCTCTTCTTATCCAACCACTGCCTGCCATCAGACAACGTTCATGTTATACCAACACTGAACTTAATTTTGTAAGAAGCCAAAACTAAACATATGTACTGAAAGCCCTATTAGTCTTCATTGTGATTACTGCCTTTGTGAATTACAACTTTCTTACCTGAGCGTAACTCCCAATAATTGAGCAGTTTAGAGCTCGATGTAGCCATTTCTTTTGCTGTTCCTCATCTGCTTGACTCATGAACACCGGCATAAACATTATGTAATGAAGACCAAAAGGGGAACCATCTTGAGAGATAGAAGCTCCTAGCACACCACTTAGAAGATTCCTGGAAAGAAATTTAAAAAAGAATAAAGATTCAAATGTGGAAGGCAAAGATACATAACTCTCTCCGAAGACTTGGTGCACTTTAAGCAGAGTATATTTTTATGGACATTACAATTAACATTTAATGAAGACGAAAACTAAAAAACAAAACGAAATCATCAGCCAAAATTTAAATAGAAGTATTTAACAATACCTATAATTAGTAAGATCCGTATTATTTTCTTTTTGTACTTTCCGAAGCAAGCTGAACAGGATGACAGCTTTCCGCATTGAATTCTCGTATTTCTCCTTATGACTTAGATATTCGTCTGGTGTCCCGCCGAACAATTCTTCGCGTTTAGTCATAATCACCCTTTCTGGAAAAGAAATCAAAGCGATATTGTTGGTCTTCAATTAATCAAATTGTGATAACATTAGAATCAAGATGAAAATTGCCAATTAATCGTGTATCGTCAGTTGCTGACACAAATTAAACATTTGTAAGGGTTCTATCTCCCCTCAAACGTTCAAACTGACTATAAAAAGGAAGCGTACTCTTACAGCAACATCACACATTCATCAATCTTCTTTCAGTCAACACCTCCTAACAAATACGTCAAGATGAACAAGATCTTCTTCCTCATCGTCTTTATGGCTTGCGTCTGCCTGTACGCTGAAGCCCAACTGACGTTCACATCCAGTTGGGGTGGCAAACGAAGCGGTGTTGCTCCAATGTCATGCAAGAACGAAGAAGCAGTGGCTACTATCTTCAAGCTGATCCAAAACGAAGCTGAAAGATTCATCATTTGCCAACAAAAGCCCTGAAGAACAAAAAACACAAGATGATTCTTCTGTCGACTTTACGCATTGTTTTGATGGATTTGTCTAATATTCTTGTAATTTTTGTTTAAGTCTTTACTGAAGCCTTGCAATTTCTATAGATTTTTTTATGTATAATGGATTAGGTACGTGCGTTTGTGTAAGGAACGAATGTACAGGAATGACAATTTAGAGTAGCCCTAGCTTCAATTCTGCAAATAATTTCATCTGTAACCTGATTTATGATTTAATAAAACCTTTTTATGTATTGTTACTGTTTTATCTTGTTTCTTTTCTAAACCCAATTTTTCTTTTTTGTCGTCATCTTCATCATCACGTAGGATAAGTTCATGCTTTTAGACTTCTCTTTTAAAATGAAGTTTTCCATGATCGTCATGTCGCCAAGGTTTTGTAGACAGGCGGCTAAGACAAGGATCGCAGTTTATTCACCGAATATTAAAAGGAGCATGCAAGCCGTTGCTACATTGATTTACGAATTTATAGCCTTCGTTTCATCATTACACTTTTTTAGGATTGGATCTGAATTAGCAGGTTTCTCGAAACATTGTATGAAAATAGATGTAAGTAATATAATTTTAAAGTCTGTTTAAATACAATAAATTACTCATCTCCAACATTGCTTATTGTTGCTAGTCATTAAGGTAGATTTTGTATAGAAACTAACATTAGGGGTCTTTGCTTGACCCCGAGCGATCTTTGACGGTTGATCCGAGACAGTAAACATACAGAATACGTTATATACATTCCGAATTGAATAATTAAATGGATTTTGTGTGAATATACTTAGTCAGTTAGTAATTTAGTCTTTTAGCGGAAACACTATATGTAAGCTATTGGTAACCTAGGTACTAAACTAAGTTCATTGTTTTAATGCTAGTTACAGGTACAAAAAACTTAGATAAGTATTTTTTAAATACACTTTTTACAAATTCACATACACAAGTGTGGGAGAGACATGTTTCGGCTTAACCGGAATGATACAACGGCTTCACAGAAAACCGGAGTGAACCAAACATAGCGTTGTGTTTCGCCGTGTGGGTGAGATTACCGTAGGCCCAATACTTCCCCTTCTTCAACCCCTCTCTAATCCCTAAATCTACCCTAATCTCCAAAAGATTGCACTGGTAACTCCTCTGTTGTTGCCATGGGCGGCGCTGATTGCTTACCATTAGGTAATCCTCTCGCTCGTGTTTGCCCGCCGCGGAACAACAATTTGTGCGTCACAAAAAGACTTGTTCTATTACATCTCCCGCCCTAGGCAGGAAAAAACACCGGTCGTGTGGCGAGCTACCTTTGCTAGCCGTCTGCAGTCCTGCCCACCTTTATAAACCTACGTTCGTCTTTGGGAAGGTCTGTGTCAACACAAGCTTGATATTTTTTTTTGTTGTTATAATTATTTCAACATATTTCCTGCCAGTATAGTAACTATGTTTAGGTATGACTTGACCTTATATTAAGACTTAAAAGTATCTAGATGAATAAATAATACCTAAACAACAAATTACCATCACCGGCGTCTCAGTTAATAATAATTAGTCGTCTGCAGTTTTTGTGCTGTTAAGTAAATATTTCAAGGAATCAGAAACGAGTTTTCAAAGCACACAAGCACAAGCTCAGTCCCTGAAGGATATATCTATGTATACTACAAGTATTGTACTAGGTAGTAACATAATAAACGGGAAAATTTGAAGTATGAGTATGTATTGGGTTGGTATGGTTCAAAGCAAAGTTGATAGTGGAATAGTAGGATGTGAGGTGACACAAACCACAAACTTCACGATAATATCGATTATTAAGTTACACGATTAAATACTGGTCGAGGCTAATCCCTAGTTATAGCGCTACGGCAGCTGTTGATCAACTAAAGTATTGAAAAATATTATAGGTATTCAAAGAAAACTACACGAGTAAAGAAATGTTTCGCGACATGGGCAACAACATACTGGCATACTGTTAGGCCAACAGTTTGTCTGTACGTGAACCGTACCGTACATGGTTTTTTATTAGGTAGTTACTCTATCCCCTACAATAACTGGGCGAACCTAAATGAAAATTGACACGGAAATTAATTACCTATTTTCACATTGCGCAAAATATCAACTGTTTCCTTCCTTAGCAATACTAGTCGAAATTAACATTCATCGCTCGCTGTTCATCACAGACTTTTCAAAATCCCAAAAAAAATCAAATCATACAAAATAAAGTATTTTCGTGTACTTTATTGTTCTCATAAAGTATAGAGTACAATTATATGAAATAGAGTACAATACTTTATTATAAATTAGGTACGGGTGGCAACCCTACCTGTATTAACCGGGGATTCTTCCCAGCAAAGAAAAATGTATTTAAATTTTAGAACCTATTCAATTTAAACAGACAAACAGACACTCATATTTTTTCTCTTTATAATATTAAGTATAGATAAGTACCTACCTTTATGTTGAATGTATACAGAATAGGTACATAAGTATAGATAAGCCAAAAAGAAAAGAAAAAAAAGTATAAAAACGTATAGGTATGTATGTAGAATGGCTATTGCATTAAGACAGCCTAGATAATTTTACGTTCCATAAAGATTAAATAAATAAATATAAAAGTACAGCATAACTATCAATGAGTAAGTACCTAGATATTCTGACTAATTAAGTGTCGTGGATCAACAGGATCAACTTAACTATCGCGACTGTCAATCCATACCTACAATTACTCTTTTTTTCTATAATTATTCAGGCGTTTTTATCCACATGGATACGTCATTGTGCCTAAGAGGTACTCTATTTAGGTACACGCAGTTTGTATAAAGGTGCCCATTATTTACTGGGTACTTCAGCAATAACTCATGCAAACGTATTTGTAGACCAGTTTTAGTCATATAGAGGCAGTGTATGTGTATAAGAACCTTCAGCTTTACTTCTAATAATACTAACAACAAAAAGTAATGGATGAAATTAGTCCAGGTGTCGCTAAGATATGCGCTTAACAACAAACATTTTGCGATTTATATTTATATCTTTACTTATAAGTCAGGTTATTTATATCATGTTCCCCTCGTCACATATTCCTTTCTCATTTTGTTTTTTTTTCTTAACTAATAATTTTATGTTTGTTATGTTGCACAATTTATACACTATCTTGTCTCCGTACCTACCTACCACTCAAAGACAAACTAGCGCAGAATGTTCCATTAAGTACGTCTATGCATGTTACTTCATGTAGCATTATATGAAATTGCATGTCAAAGTACTTAAACAAAACACAAGAAGTACACAACGACCAACGCTTAAAAAAATCCGTAAATCAATACCACATTATCAAAAAGCAGTCCTGTGCGCATTATGCTCATAACATATAGAAAGTTTAACTCCACATTATTAGCTACCTATCAAAGAGTTATGTCACAAACACAAATAACAATATTTAGACTAAACATTTATCAATACCGGTACAGTCCTAGTCTACAAACTACAAACAAAAGGTCATTTACCTCGCTCCTTTCTCTCCAAAGTCTTGTCTTTCCCGCCATCCAAAAAATATGTCAACTCTGTCACATTAAAAGTGCACTTTGCCCTCTCTCGTATTAAATCCTTATTTATATCACCGATACCCATTTTACTCGTATTAGAAGGAACGACACGTTTTACTTTTAAGCGTACATTTGTTTAACTGAACTGTTCGACGTGTGACACATGCAAGCGCGCCAAATAATGAATAATGAACTTAGGTATCAAACTTGCGCTTGCGGATAATAATAAGTACCTACAAATAAGGCTTGAACGAAAAAATGTGTTTGCTACAAAAACCATTATAAGCACACTCAACGTTTGCTAATGGACACCAAAAATTATAACTCAACGTTAATGTTATTTATGTACCTAAATAGCTTTATAAGTGTACCTAAAATCTATCTTACATCTCGACAAAGTTTTCAATTTTATAACTTTGATTAAACATGTTCTAGGTACAAAATACATTTAAATCAAAAACGTCTTTTGGATCAGTTTTTAAAATTAACCGCGTTATGACACTGTCGAACACGCCAGGCATCCCACTGAGTTTGTAAACACGATCATGTTCGTACCCCACAGAAGGTAGGTACCCTCAGCTATGCAATCTTTGGATGCCTAAGGCCATCGCAGTCAACGGACAACGCATTGAACCACGAGCAATCCTTAAAAAAAAACAAGAATGATACGGTAAAACTACATCTGAATAAATAATGTCAATATCAGTCAATATTAAATAACCAGTTTGCCACAACTCTATTAGTAGGTAGTTTATCGTTTGCTTAGAAACTGTATCCATATCGGTAAAAATATATTTACAGTGCATGGATGCAGCACAGATTTCCTATATAAAAGAGGTAGTTGAACTGACTGAAGAAACCTCTTAGCTGTACTTTGAGTAAACCAAGAACAGCTATGAGTTTTGATTATATTGGACCCTGCAAAATAATGGTTGGTCTATTATTTTCAAAATTTCACTACCTACCGAGAGTGGGTTGATAAAAAAAATGATAGAACAATATTTTGTGGCGCCCGCATTTTAAAACAAATAAAAGGTACGTGCGCGTTAAGTCTTCGACTACAGTCTTAGGAAGGGCAAACCAGTGTTTTTTAAAAAGAAATTAATTTTTATTGGTAACGAATTGTAACAATAGAACACCCCATAGTACGAATTAATAGGTACTGTCAATGAACAGTTGACAGTACCTACCTATTAATTTTACTATAAAAATGTCCCAAATGCGTTGCTGGCGTTTTAGGATTGGCGAGAGTTAGACCATCCGTGTAAAATCTTAATCACACGGGCAAAATCCTTATAAAAGTACTATTCCTCCATGGCTAAACCCTGCTGTACCTTCAAGTGTTGAGGCCGTTGTTGCTCATAATACAAAATTATCGTCTCTCCCACAGAAGTTTTGTACTGGTACCATACCATTGAAAATATCTGAATATTTTCTCAATGGTATATACCTAGGTTGCAGGCAAAGGCAACTAAACGGTCGTTCAAGTACAGGACCAGCGGTCTGCACCTATCCACCTGCATCGGGTAATAAGACAGGGGGATGTTATTTCCCCCAAATTGTTCACTATGCTTTGGAGGATAACTTTAAGACCCTGCGCTGGAAAGGGTGGAGCAGTAGGTTGAGGCCTATGTCTAGCAGCGGATGAACACAGGCTGATGATGATGATATACCTAGGTGCATTTCTTATCATTATTCCTTGTCAGGTACCTAAAATTTATTATCCATGTGTCTATAGATTTAACGACCGGAATGACATTTACATTGAATAATAGTGTTCAATTCCCGTTAATGCAATGCAAATTACTAAGCTTGGTATGCCAAAGGGTCAGTAATACACTTGCACAAGCTGTTAATATTAAGTAGCAAGTATCATTATATTGTCCTTGTTATTTTTATTCTAGTTTGACTCCTGAGTTAGGGACTAGGCAACTGGCTACTGTAGCCAATGATGAGTGCACATATTGCTACAGCAATGTGCACCGGGTTGTTTCCACGCGGAACATTTCTTCACGTAGCTTTATCATTACAACAATGAGTGCATGACATTACAAATAAAACACGTGAATGGACCCAAAAAAATAATTTAATGGATCATATTTTTTTGAATTAATTACAAAGTGTCGATCACTTCTTGGCTGTGACCGCGGCCTCGTCTTCCCGCGCGAACGTCTGCAGCAGCTCTTCCTTCTTGGCGGCGATACGCTCTTCACGTCGCTTGCGCGCTTCCTTGACCTTGTTACGGCGGGCCTCTGCCTGGTCACTGGAATTAAAAAAAGTTGATTAAGTAATTTAAGCATTCAAATAAAAATAAGAATGAAAAATTGGTCGATAGGTTATGAAATATTGAATTTTCAAAGTATGTTAATAAATGGCAATTCAAACACTATGCTAAGCCACAATTCTTGCTAAAGGCTCCTTTTTTAACCATTGTAGTGTGTTCATCTATTATATGTCTGATTATTTAGTCAGAATAGTGTACATGTCTTGAAAGAAAGGCAAATTATACAATTCTTACCTAAGCATCTTAGTCCTAGCCTTCTCAGCCTTCTTCCTGTGGATGTACTCCATAAGTACACGCTTGTTCTTGAAGACATTACCCTTTGCCTTCATGTACAGGGCGTGGTACAGATGCCTGTCGATCTTCTTGGCTGTTCTATACTTAAGGAGCAGCTTACGGAGAACCCTTTGTCTTTGTACCCAGAGTTCCTAGAGAAGAGAAAGAAATATGTAAATTAATATTGCAACTTTGTTATTAGCAATAAGATTAATATTATGAGAAAATCAAAATTAGCAACTAGAGGACATGATCATAATATATGTAACAACAGTTCTATTAAAGCTGAGCTTAACTTTAGTAACAAATTAAGCATTCAATAAAAACAAACAAGGAACAGAAGTATTGCACAATAACATGAAACCATCAACAACAATATTATCTAAGTTTCTTTCAACCCATAGAATGGGAAAAAGTACTGTGTAATCAACTAAAGAGATTTTCCATCATGAATGAATAAACTATCTAACAAAAATTTTGTTCCCTAATAAAAAAAGAGAAAAAGTCAGTCAGTATCTTCAGTAAAACTAGCGTTGCAAGAACTTATCAAAAATAATAATATGAAACTCACCTTCTGTGGCATACGGGCATTAGCAGTACCTCTTCTCTTACCGAAGCCACAGTGACGTCCCTTTCTGCGGGCTTCTGTGTTCTTGCGGACACGAGCACGTGAGTGTACTGCTACGGGCTTCTTGATGACGAGACCATCCTTGATCATCTTACGGATGTTCTGTCCTGGAAAGTGATGAGTGAATTTTAAATTGATGATGGTATTCCAAAAGTATGTATTATGCGATTTGCAAGAAAGGTCATCATGATAAAAATCCAGAAACTGAATAGACTGTATTTAATATAAGTTAGTATGTTCTGTATGGTAAAAGTTGTAATGACTAAATTATGAATTTTGAAGGTTATGTTTTTAACTTATTGCGAGTGAATAACATATGTACTACACCCTACACAATTAAATATTCTCCTGGATTTGTGCTACATGAAACCGGTTAACATATAAAATAATGTAATATGGCCAAAATCTTCAACTACATCCATGATTGGTATGAACATTATTGCATGAAAAAATGTAATAAACTAAGTAAGTTGATAAAATATTATCAGCTCTTCCACTTGTTTACTTTGATCACGTTTTAAGAACAACAATGAAGTATTTTAACATTTTTTCTCTCATTAAACTTTGTTTACTATCTGTAAAGAAACTTCAACACGGGACTCATGATCACGCCGCGCTTTGAAAATATGTGTAAGTACTTACTGGAGTTGGTGTTAGCGATTTCATTGATCTCATTGGGATCAAGCCACACCTTCTTTTTACCACATCTCATAACAGAGGCTGCAAGCCTCTTCTGCAGCTTGAGGGAACTGAAAACGAACGAAAATCCAGCATGACCACATGGCTATGAAGTTCATCGATAAGATATTAATGTTACAAAAATAGATATTTTCACTGTTGAAAACATATAGAATACAGTTATTGAGCCAGCGCAAACTATTTCTGACAATAATTATAACATTTTACACTAAAAAAATAAATTATTTATCAAAACTAACCTCATCTTGACTAGGTGAGATCCAACGCATACAAGAAAGAAATATGGCTGCCTGCGTCAGTGCGGGGTAACGGGTTACTAAAACAGTGTTCTTAATTCTAGTTAGTCGATTTGCTGTTTCACTAGAATGACAGGAAGAAAAATTGGATCATAATTATTATAAAAATAATTATGCAATATGAACATATAAATATGTAGAATTCGAAGTATTAGTTTAAGATCTTAAAAATGAAGTTTACGTAAAGTACCCAAAACTGTCGTGAAAATCCTTGCTTTTTTAAGATGGTCACACAAGTGTGTCAAAATTTGTCAATTGATTTTGACAATCGAAACTGTCAAACTGCTTTGTCAAATCTTGTTGACGTAGGTATTCAAAACAGAAAATTCTCAAACAAATCATCAGCTGAATAATCCCTAATGTTTTATTAAATTCTTTGAAACCGAATTACTTTTAATTTGTTAAATCAAATTATCTGTGGAACTAGTTTCTAATTCAATATGGTTTTCTACGCATCCTAACTAGAATATTTCTAATTTATTATTTCTTTGTTTTATATTTATTGTGTGTGTCATGATAGGACTGTAAATAAAACAGACAGAGAAACCAATTTAAGAGTGCAATAATATCAGATTAAATAATTTCGTAACCCATTAACAAGTAAAGGTGACCCTCAAACTTCGTAAACTTAAATATCGAAGATATTGTTTAAGCAATAACTAGATAATCAAAACTTGTTTTGGTCACGCAAACCTAGCAAGATTACGTTTGCCGCGTCAAGTGGATCTCGATTTATCGTTTCGTGTGATTTCGTCGTCAGTTACTCGCGTTCGTTTGTGCGGGTTTGTCGTGTTTTTTCGCGCGTACTTTTTTACGACACAAAATGAGCAAATCTACGAGTGTTAACCCAGATTTACAAAGAGAAAGGGAAAAATGCACCTTCAACATAACAGAACTTACAAATTTGTTGGATGGCGGCCCACATATGACCGAGGAGAGGAAAAG